CATCGCACTTCAGGAGGAATGTGGACAACTTGGAGAGGGTCCAGAGGAGGGCCACCCGTATGATCGGGGGTCAGCAGGGCAGGCCCTACGAGGAGAGACTAATGGACCTGAACCTGTTCAGCCTCCACAAGAGAAGGCTGAGGGGGGATCTAGTGGCTGTTTACAAACTAGTCAAAGGGGACCAGCAGGCATTGGGAGAGTTCCTGTTCCCCCAAGCACTACCAGGAGTGACCAGAAATAACGGTCACAAGCTGGCAGAGGGTAGATTCAGGCTAGACATCAGGAGGCACTACTTCACTGTCAGGGCGGCTAGGATCTGGAACCAATTCCATGAGAAGTGGTGCTGGCTCCTACCCTGGGGGTTTTTAAAAGGAGGCTGGATGAATACCTTGCCGGGTTCGTTTGACCCCACTACTCTTTCCTGCCATGGCAGGGGATCAGACTTGATGATCTGCTCAGGTCCCTTCTGACCCTACCAACTATGAAACTATGAATTTTCAAAGATAATGGGCAGCAGCTCTGCAATCACATTGGCCAACTCCCTTAGTACCCTTGGTTGAATTGCATCCAGCCCCATGGACTTGCACATGTCCAGCTCTTCTAAATAGTCCCTAACCTTTACTTTTATCACTGAGGGCTGCTCACCTTCTCCTGAAACTGTGCTGCCCAGTGTAGTAGTCTGGGAACTGACTTCGTCTATGAAGAGAAGGTTAAAAAAGCATTGAGTACTTCAGCCTTCTTCTCATCATCTGTCACTAGGTTGCCTCCCCTATTCAGTAAGGGACCCACACTTTCCCCGACCTTCCTCTTGTTGTTAACTAACTTGTAGAAACCCATCTTGTTATCCTTCACATCCCGTGCTAGCTGCAACTGTAGTTGCTCTTTGGCCTGCATGCCCAAGCAAAATTCTTACATTCCTCTCTAGTCATCTGTCCAAGCTTCTACTTCTTATAAACTTGCTTTTTGTATTTAAGCTCAGTGAAGAGTTCTCTGCTAAGCCCAGCTGGTTGCCTGCCATATTCCCTATTCTTTCTTTACATTGGGATGGTTTGTTCCTGCAGCCTCAATAAGGTTTCTTTTAAACTACTACTAGTTCTCTTGGACTCCTTTCCCCTTCAGACTGGCCTCCCAGGGGATCCTGCCTATCAGTTTCCTGAGGGGAGTCTGTCTGCTTTTCTGAAGTCCAGGGTCCATACTCTGCTGCTCGCCTTTCTTTTATCAGGAGCCTGAACTCTATCATCTTGTGGTCACTGCTGCCCATCTTTGCATCTGCTTTTACATCCCCATCAATTCTTCTCTGTTTGATCAAGAAAAGCACGGCCTTTATTTGGTCTCCAGCACTTGCACTAGGAAGTTGTCTCCAATGCTCTCCAGAAATTTACTGGATTTCATGTTCACTGCTGTATTGCCCTCCCAGCAGATGTCAGGGTGATTAAAATCCTTCATGAGAATCAGGGCCTGTGATCTGGAACTTTTGCTACTTGTCTGAAGAAAGCATAATCTACCTCATCCTCCTGGTCTGGTGGTCTATAGCAGACACCCACCATGACATCACCTTTTTTGCTGTCCCTTCGAACTGCAACCCAGAGACTTTCAACAGACCTGTCACCAGTTTCATGCTGGAGCTCTGAGCAATCGGACAGCTCTTTTGCATACAGCACAACTCCTCTTCTCTGCTGCCTGTCCTTCCTGAAGTTTATACCCATCCCTGACCAGTACTCCAGTCATGCAAGCTATCCCACCAAGTCCCGGAGGATTGGAAGAGGGCCAGTGTCATCCCAGTCTTTAAGAAGGGGAGGAAGGAGGATCCGGGGAACTATAGACGGGTCAACCTTACCTCTATCCCAGGGAAAATCCTAGGAAAAAATTATCAAGGAACACATCTGTGGGAGCCCGCTGGCTAATGTGATGTGGAGGGGCAACCAACGTGGGTTTATAGCGGGCAGTTCCTGCCTGACTAACCTAGTTTCTTTTTAAGATAAGGCCACCAAATGTTTAGATGCAAGAGTCGAGGTGGATGTTATCTATCTAACTTCAAGAAGGCCTTTGACACAGTATCCCATCCCATCCTTATTAATAAACTGAGGAAATTTGCAATGGATGATTATATGGTAGAATGGGTAGCAAAGTGGCTCAGGGGTCGCACTCTAGAGGGTGGTGGTGGATGGGTCAGTGTCAACCTTGAAAGATATGTGCAGTGGGGTCCCTCAGGGCTCAGTTCTGGGGCTGCTGCTGTTCAACATCTTCATCAGTGATGTGGATGAGGGGGTGGGAAGCACCCTGTCCAAATTCGTGGAGAACACTAAAATATGGGGTGAAGCTAACAACCTGGAGAGGAGGAACCAGATCAAGGCTGACCTCGACAGGTTGGAAGTGGGCAGAGAACAACAGGATACAATTCAATAAGGGCAAGTGCAAGGTGCTGCATCTAGGAAGGAAAAACTGCCATCATACCTATAGGCTGGGGGGCGACTTTCTCAGCACCACTGAGACAGAAAGAGATCTTGGAGTTACTGTTGACTCCATGAGTAGTCAGTGTGACAGTAGTCGGCAGAACCAATCGCACCTTTGTCATGCATCCATTGGTGCTTCACAAACAGGTCCAGGGAGGTGATTTTCCCTCTCTGCACAGCGCTGGTCAGGCCACAGCTGGAGTACTGTGTCCAGTTCTGGATGCCGCAGTTCAAGTGGGATGTGGACACCCTGGAGAGGGTCCAAAGAAGAGCCACTCGTCTGATTGGAGGCCTGCAGGGAAGGCCCTATGAGGAAAGGCTAATAACTTTTTCAGCATCTCCAAGAGAAGGTTGAGAGGGGACCTTGTGGCGGCATACAAATTCATAAGAGGGGAGCAACACAAAGTAGGCGATGATCTGTTTACCAGGGCATCCCCTGGAATAACAAGGAAAAATGGCCATGAGCTGTTGGAGAATAGATTTAGACTGGATATTAGAAAAAAGTTCTTCACAGTCAGGGTTCCCAGGATCTGGAATGGGCTTTGAAGGGAGGTGGTACTCGCCCTTGGGGGTCTTCAAGAGGAGACTGGACAGGCACCTAGATGAGATCACGTGATCCCACGTTTTGAGCCTTTTCTTGCCTGCCAGAGGCAGTGCGTCAGACTGGATGGCCCACTGAGGTCCCTTCTGACCCTGGAATCTATGAATCTATGAAAAAAGTCTTCCAGTCATGTCATAGTCCCTTCATTGTGCAAGGACTTCCAGTTCTTCCTGCTCGTTTCTTCAGCTCCATGCATTCGGGTACAGACATCTGAGGTAACTAGCCAATTGCCCTACTGTCTTAAGGAAGAATAAGGAGGCCTTCCCTGTTGCCCCCTCCTCTTTGTGCTTCCTCTAGGTCCCCCACTACCCCATTTACCTCAGGACTTTGGTCTCCATCTCCCAGCGAACCTAGTTTAAAGCCTTCTCACTAGGATAGTGAGCTTGTCGGCAAAGGTGTTCTTCCCTCTTCATCAGGTGGATCCTGTCTCTTCCTAGCAATCCTTCTTGGAACAATCCTTCTTGGATCCCATGGTTGAAGAAGCTGCCGAATCCCCACCTGCACAGCCATGCATTGATCTGCAGGATGTGTCTACACCTGCAAGGGCCATTCACCTTGACCAGAAGGATCTACAAGAATGCCACCTGTGCCCCCATCCTCTTCACTCTTGCACCCAGAGCCTTGTAGTCACTGTTTATTTGCTCAGGGTCACCCCTGGTGGTATCATTGGTGCCCCCATGGATGAGCAGCATGGGATAGTAGTCAGAGGGTTGGACAAGTCTCAGTAATCCTTCCGTGACATCTTGGATCCAGGCTCCAGGCAAGCAGCAGACCTCCCAGGACATCAGGTCAGGCTGGCAGAGAGATCCCTCCATTCCCTGCAGAAGGGGAGTCTCTAACCACCCCCATCCATTGCTTCCTCTTCATAATGGTGATCTCAATCCTCCCCACCTTAGGGATTTCTGGTCTGGCTTCTTCTACCAATGGATTGCACTTCTTTTCCTCTGTTGCTAGAGCGCCATAATTGTTCTTCAGGCAAACCACTGCAGGTTGGGATGATGACTTCCTTTTGCTGCTAGAGGTCACAATCTTCCAGCTTCCACCTTTCTGGGAGTCCATGCCTTCCTTCCTTTTCTAGAACTGGCTCTGGCAGTCCTTCCTTCCTTCTTTCATAGGTTTCCTCCAGTGTGGAATCAGTCAAGTCCTCATGGCAGAGGGTGCTTCAGAGTCTTGCTGCTACTTCCTGTAGCTCTTTCCTTCTCCTTAAGGACACCACCAAAAGACACTGCTCACATCACAGGTGCTCCCCCACCTGGCTGACACTGGAAGGAATTCCCTGTTGCACCAAATGTAGCTGTATCACCTCACCCTTAGCTCCCCAGCTCTGGGCTTCCCTGGTACTTCAGGCTGCACCACCCACCATACCTTATGGGGAGGGGGCAGGAAATGAAATTCAAAGGAGGCAAAGGAGCCCCAAGACCCTAGCTGCTGCTCCAGCCAGAGTGCTGGGAGAACCAATGGTCAGTTGGGTGCCTGGGTGCTGCATGTTAACCCCTCATGGATTGCATGCAGGCCACTAGTTGGATAGCCCTGCATTAAGTAAATTCAAAAGATACTAATTCTATAAACTCTAAGGATTTTTTTGTGGCAGAGGTGATAAAGTATGTAGCAGTTTGTGGGGAAATTTCCCTATAAAGAGAAAAAAATAATCAGAACCTTCCATTCAGTTTAATGGTAGAATTTACAAGAGGCTTATATGTGCTGTGTTCATCCTGCTACTGAATTTGACTTTTGTTTTCTCACCTGCTCACTGCTTTGATATAATTATAGACAATATAGACAATATAAGGTTATCTTCCTCTAAAGAAAAGCTTTGGGGGTTATTTGTCAGCCAGTGATGCTTTAAAGTGGTTATTTTAAATTTTTTTTCTACCTAGTGTGTGCTGGATACTTAGAAAATCATTTGTTACATTTGGTTTAAATGATGTTTTTCTTTTAATACTTAGCAGTGATTCTGAGTGTGCAGAATTTGAGAGCCCTGATCTTCCACTAGGATTGCAGCTGCCTTGCCTGGAAGTAAAAGCCCATCATGGAAGCACAGTACAGAAACCCGGGATGAATGGTATCGTCTGTATTTGTAAACAACTTGTAATATAATTTTGATTTTGTTTAATGTACTTTAGAAATTAGTCCAAGCTCCCTAAAGATAGCTAGAATTTTACTTGTTTTGTTTTGGTTTTTTTTTTTGCACAAGTGAAACAGTTAAGCTCTCTTTTGAAGACTGTCTCTCTAGGTTCTCATTCTTGGCTGCATGCATTCAGGTGATTAGGTTGGAATCCTTCAGAAAAACCATACTTGTGCTAACTACAGGTGTCTTGTCTTTTCCAGAAACTAGAAAATCGGGATTAATAATTTATAGACTAATCCAACCTCAGTCTCTCTCTGGCTGTGTGGGCATAGGATTCTGAGGTCTTTCTAAGGGTAGTGCTTGTATCACAATATTGGCTATTTTCTTTGAGTATTTCTACTGCACAGCATTATGATAACACCCATATTTATCGAGATAAATAAGTTTTCAGATCTTGTTATAGTTGTGTAATACTTGTGGAGATATGAACTGCATTTACAGTTAAGGGCCTTTGTTCATTCATGCATTGACTAAATCTCATTATTTTTAAAAAGGTCTTGCATAGACTTTCTCCCCATATGATAACTATGACATTCCCCTAGAGCAGGGGGACGCAGAGTCCAGCCTGCGGGCCAGATTTGGCTTGCAGCAAACTCCAGTTCCCAGCAGCCCCTGCCCATGTCACTGGCTGGTTTCCATGGAGACCCTAGGAGGGGCAGGGCCATGACAGCATTTGGAGGCTGGGGTTTCCCTGAAGACCAATCCAAGCAGTGCTGGCAGGGTGCAAGGCTGGGTGGGGAACTGCTCCGGAGGATTTTGTGGTGGTTGCCAGCATGGTCTGGAGCTGGGACCTCCTGGGGTCTTCATAGAAACTGACTGCGGTGACATGGGCAGGGGCTCGTGGAAAATGCAGTCTGGCTGCTGGCTGGATCCACCATTTTGCCCACCACTACCCTAGAGCATATCCATAGTTTCTTTGATGCGGAAGGCAAAAAATTACAGGGTCTCTTTTACAGATAAGTTGTCCTTTCAAATCTTAGTGCAGCATCTATTTAAGGAACCTGTAATTTTATAATTGTTTACTTAAATGTATTTTGTAAATGTGGGTTATTTAAATTCTGCAGTTTGTCAATTGTGCACCTATCTGGTTTCAAGTTATGCTGCAAATTAAACATAATAATTGGCCCATTAGATAGATAGACTACTGGTTCATTAGTTCCGTAGCATCGTATCATTCACATTTTTAGGGGGAAAAGGCAACTAGAAAATAAGCCTACCATAACAAATGTTTCTTTCTAAATGTGCATTAGTTGATTTAAAAAGCATGATGGTATATATCCCTTGTAAAAATCTTGATTTTTATTTTTAAAATGTTTGGGGGGTTTTTAAGCATTACTTCTAGTAAAAGCAGCTGCAGAAGCAGCCAAAACAGCAATAGCAGTGACTTCATAGGGGACTGCCCTTTCCCTGGTATATCCTAGTTGCAAATCTGTGCACAGTATTAGCACTGCATAATGCTACTGCTCTCTTTTCCCACCCCTACTCCCTGAATGTGACTTTGTGGGGGGGAAAACTGCAAAAAGGACCTAGCCTCAGATTTCAGCTAATAATTCAGCTGCTTTCCCAGATACTCCTGTGGTCTTCTGAATGCTCAAAACTTCCAACAGTTTTAAATGTTCTTTATCTGTCTTCTGCTAATTGGCAGCTTGGTCCAACCTTCCCTTTTCCTCACTCTTTTAACCTCAGCTTCACTTCACATGTGATCCTATCCTGCCCTCATCATGTCCCCTTGATTCCTTTTTCTTCACTTTTTTTTTCCATTTAATATATCCTCCCAAAATAATTAAACCAATTAGTTTTGTTTCAGGCCACCAACTTCTTTTTTGCTTGTGTGTTGTATTGCTTTCCCAGCCCTGGGTGCCTATACATGCTTTGATGCATTCTAATTAGAATGCATTGGAGCAGACTCAGTCCCCTTGATTAAAACCCCTGCAGGTTTAAAAATGGCCAGCGGGGTGCTTTAACTGACACTTGTCAAATGAGCTTTAGTTGAAGTGGCCTATGGCCATTTTTAAATGTGCAGGGGCTTAATACACATGACACTGCGGTGTTTTAATTAGAGCAGCTCTCCAGGAACTGCTCTAATTAAAACGCCCACCCCCAAGCACGTGTATAGGTACCCCATGTTTCCTATTTGGATTCAACAGTCTTTGTGACAAGGCCTACTACTGCTATTACAGGGTGCCTCAGTTGTCCTTTAGGCATTACCATGATAAACGTGACTGCTGGGGCAGGGGACAGCAATGTTGATTCAGAAATACAGAAGCTACTAACCAAGTGCTAGGGATTAAAGCTTCCAGTAGTTTCAGCTCATTTTCTACCTTTTTTTCTTGCCTACCTTAAAGAGAATAGACCTTTGCTTAAAAGGGGCAATTTGTAGCTTTTACAGAGTTTAAAGGAGGCTAAGAATTACCTGTCTAAGAGACATTATAATATTCATTAAACTACAGGTCTCTTAGATTATTATTTTTGGGTTGTGCCTAATCAAATACTCATTCTGCTTAGTATTGTATTATCTTTAAAACAATGCCGTTAGTTGTGTTTACATTATTAAAAATAAAGACAAGAGATTTTGTCCCATTTAATATACAGTTCATTTATGTTTTTGTTCTCTATCATAGATTTCAGATATATAGGCAAGTGCCCACTCTTACCATTTCCCAATTCCAACTGTTACGAACCATGGAAAATGGACAAAAGTGTGCCAGTAAGTTGCTAAATACTTAATGAATTATTATAATATAGAGTTAATTGTATTTTTTTTTGTGCATTTAATCAATTCTTAAGAAAAATATCTAGCGATTTTTATTGGCCTATGTAAGCCAAAGTTTTCACCACCTTAAAATGTATGGTCTAATCCAGTGGTTTTCGAACTGTTCCACAAAATCCTATTTTTTTGTGATAGGTCATCAAGGGTTTCACAAAATGATTAGGGCCAGTGGTGGAGCAGGCCAGGTCTCCTGGCTCCAAGTCAGCTCGCATAGTCTGCAAAGCGAGAGATAGAGGTTCTCCAGCAGAAGAAGTGATATGAAAGGGTTCTGGTAGGAAGTTTGAAAACCACTGATCTACTGAATAAAACTTCTGAGGATGTTATCAGTGCTGAGAAGAAGACTGTTCACAATGCACGCATGTTGGCTTCTGCTTTACTAGAAAAACAAAATCAAGCAATATGTTCTGCCAGCTTTTGAGAAGAAGCTAAACAGTTCATTTATATTGGTTGCCAAACTGGAACTCAAAGAAGCTAAGTTCTGTTCCCAGCTTAGTAACTTGCTGTGACATCTTGGATGAGCCAGTTCAATTTTGTATTCATTTTCCCTCCTACTCTTAAATTTGGGGCATATTTTTTGATTGTCAGTTCTTCAGGGCACAGATTCTTACTGTGTTTTATACCATGCTTAGGACAATAAGCATTGATGTCCGTTTGATGTAAAACAGAAAGGGGAGGAAAGAGAGGAAAAAGTTGCTGCCTTAAAGGTTTAAAAGATCTTTTCATTGTCTTCTACTGGTCATATACATTTTTATTTTAAAATATAGTTAGTATGTTATTTCTTCTAATATAATGTTAATATGCTCATCTTTTTTAAAAAAAAAAAAATAGGAGAAATGACTATTTCACTTTCAGGTTTCCCACTCCATCCAGAAAATCCTGGAGATTGAATTGCCCCGTAAATATTGCAGATTTTATTTCAATACGCTGCGTGGCTGTGAGAGAGCAGAATGTTGGTTTTGGCATATTCCTGAAAAAGGAGATGAAAAGGTAATGGGTTTGGGGGGGTTTTGAAGGAGGAGAGATGATGGTACATATTTTCATTTATAAAAATCAGAAAATGTTTCTGTATTCAGTTTTGAGTTCAGGCTGAGTTATCTTTAGGGTAAATCTACACTGCATGAGCCATATGTCCTAGCGGGCATGTCCTACCCACCTGCTTGCATGCTCCAAGCCTGGAAATACACAGATGAAGAGTCACTGGGGACATTCCCTTTATTGGTTACACTTGTGACCCTTGTCTCCAGCATGCTTGAGAGCAGCTGTTGGGTCTCACCAAGCAGCCTTCCCAGTGTATTTTCAGTTTTGGACAGTGTGAATAGGAGTGGGTGGCTGGGGCATGCTCAAGAATATTTGCCAGGACATGCTTTTACTGTTACTTATATATACACTTAGAAGCTGAGGGCTTCATCTAAAGTCTTCAGTCTCCAAAGAAGGAACCCAAAGAATATGCATAAGTGCCTTTTTAAAAATTGCTTATTAGATCATTGTACTAGAGAAGCTGTTGAAGTTGCAGAGTTAGATTTTCAAATGATGAGAAACTGGATATGTGTGCCTACTCCTAGAAATCTCAAGAACATCTGAATGTGAATGTCTCCAAGGACCCAGCTAAAAAAACATGAAAATGTGTATACATTTGAAAGGTTTACATCATGGCATTCTTTGAAAGATAGATGTAACAATGGTTTAAAGACACTAATCCCTTCATGTAAAGGATTCATCCTCAATGAATACACTGTCAGAATGCGATTGACTTTATGTGCCAGGTATGAAGCATCTTTGCAATGCTTTCTTGAGCATTGGCAGTATCCAGCTCATTGACACAAGTCATGTTTTGGATTTTACTTTAAAGATACACTAAAATAATAACCAAATGTTAAAAATCCAGCCTCCATGAGCTTTTGTGAGCTGCAGTGTTTCTATTGAACTCATTGTTTTGCCTCCAAGGCCACAGTCTGCCACTTGGTAGCCTGGAAATACTTTTAAGTTCTTTACTGAAAACTACCTGTACAAATCAGACCAGTGATCCAGTTACTCAATATCCTGTTTTTTCGCAAGGACCACTAACAGAAGCTGGGGGGATAGGTGGACTCAGAAAGGATGTTCCTTTCTCATCTCCGTTAATTACTATACAGTTTACAGCCTGAAACAACAGTTTACATCTTAGAACATACTTAACGTAGCAGGATGATATTATTACCCATACCGGTGTCTGGTCCTTTTATGAACATCCATTTGTTCTTGAATCAGTAAGACAATGAGTTCCACAAGTTACCATTTTTATTTTGAAAAAAATGTTTTTAATTTGTTTTCTCTAAGCTTCATTGAATAAATCTTGGTTGGGTAAACAGTTTACCCTCCATGTTGTTCCTCATTTGTATACTTCAAGTACAACCATTCTTTTTTTTTCTGTAAAGTTTTTTACTTTTTTCCATTCTCCCACAGATAGATAGATAGATAGATAGATAGGTTTTTCCATGTCTCTAATAGCTTCTGTCTTCAAACTCTTTTTTTATTTGGGATATTGTGAGCAGAACTGAATAGAATGTTCCTGGACAGAGTATATCACTAATTGATAAAAGGGCATTTCCAGTATCTTTTATAATTTCTTTATACTTGCTAGTGTTTTACTTGGGTCTTTTGCCCAGTAATTGACCAGAGCTATTTGTTGATATACTTTACCATAATAATATCCAGCTCCTTTATTGCAGTGTTCCATTTATCTTGAAATCCAGAAACTTGTACGACTGAGTCACACTCTTCCTTTCTTTATGCATTACCTTGCATTTGTCAACATAGATTTTTTTTTTTAAGCCTGTTGTCATGCTACTCATAAACAGAGTTTTCTTAAAATAAAAAATCAGTCAGATTTCTCCCAGGACAAAGCCTTTTATTGTGGGATTTTACAAGCCCATTGACCCACTTGAAGTACCTTTGAAGAACCAAGATAACACTTTTTCCACAGGATGTTCAAAGTTAATTTGAGTTAACTGCTATTTAAGCTACATATATATGTAAACAACTATCCCAGACTTTTTTATGGGAGTCAAAACCTGGAACAGTCTCCTGGGATAAACTCGTCCTCTGTTTTCATTAGATGCCCATGGAGTTCTAAAGCCTTTTCTAATGCTGACCTCCTTAAATTTTGTCAGCCTCAAATTTTGTTAAACCATTTACCACCTTTTTCATCATCTAATAAATGTAAATGCCAAAAATATCATATATATGCATACAGCAATCCCACCATAACTTTTCTCTGAAAATCAAGCATTTATTCCTACTTTGGGGCAGAGATTGTTTAGCCAGTTTTTTACATGACAATTTAACTTCACAGAATTTAGCCTAATTCTCTTGGCTTAAATAAAGTTGCTTATAAGAGGATATTAATAAAAGTCTAGAGAAAATATATTGGCTTATTGCCTTGTTGACATGCCAAAAGAATTCTAGCAAATTAGAGCTGTGCAATTTTTTCTTCAAAGGACTTGTGCTCTGTTTGCCATTCTCAGATATAGTATAGTTCAGCACTTCTCAGCCTGAAGATTAGGATTGCTAAAGGTTTGCAGTTGTAGCTGGATGAAGAAGGCTTCTGAACCTTTTTTTAGTTGCAACATAGGTTCACAATACAAAAAAAAACAGATCCTCTAATCATGGTGTTTTAAATTATGCATTTAAAAATTTTAGGAAAGTAGTACCCAGGACTTATCTTTCACACCTCATTTAAAGATAGATAAAATATTTTGCTGCCCTTATGTATCTGGGATCGTGGCTGATTTTAATCAAAGATCGCGTATTTTTATTAGCAACTTGGGCTGTACATTCCTAGATTCTTTCAGAAGTCTTTGACAAATACCAGATGGCTTATTTTAGTGCTTTCCCCTCTGACACATTAGTCTAACCTGGCTTCATTTTTTATTTTATGAAAGAATAGGCCTGTGGTAGGTGTCGCCCAGTTCTTTCTTTTGGTGATATCTGGAGGAAAGGCAAGTGATTTTTTTTTTTTTTTTTTTTTTTTTTTTTTTGCATATTTTTCCTTTTCTTGGTTTGATTTTTATCTTTAATCCCAAATAACATAATACACCCCACTAACTTCCTCATAGATTTTCTGCTTTCAGCTGTTTGCTAGTCTCAGATTTGTCCTGTTCCTCTTAATTTTTACCTTAATATTTTAATTACCATAGACTTATCCCTTTCTGTTAGTTTCAGTTGAGAAGCCTCCTTCATTCAGATACCAGGGAAGGATTTTTAAACCAGACTCAACATCAACCCTCTTGTGCAATCAAAACAGCTATTTGACAGGAGAGTGGAGTTGTTAGAGAAAGTACATTCACATTTGATTCTCAAGACAGTAATCTGCAGTCTCCAAAAATGTTGGTCTTCTACAAGATGAACAAGGTTTATGCCTTAGACCTTGAGAAGATGGACATAGAGGCTACTCTCTTTTTCTATCAGTCACAAAGATACTCAAAGTCAGCTGCTAATCGCAAATATTTTAATGCTGATTAAATTACCACCTGTCAACAAATCATTGTTACAACAGTCAGCATGTCCCAAATCAAACCAATCAGAATTCATGGATCCTACCCATGCCTATCTCAAATTGTGGTATGTCTCATCCGGTATACCAAATGCCCTCATGGAAATTATCACTATGTTAGTTAGCATTTTGGCCTTGTTCAGTTAGTTCTTCTGTAATCAAAATGTAGCAGATCTATCTGATTGGTGTTTGTTATGCTGAACTGCGCAAACTGACGAGTTTTTGAAGTCTTGAAGCATTTTTTTTCATATGACGTTTCAGAGAGACCAACCTGCAGTTTGTCCCTTGCAATACATATCTATTCTTGACTAATTTGGTGCAAAAGAGAAGTCTTGATAGAAGTAGTAAACCTGGCTGTTTGGAGAAGAATCAGCCAATTGGGCAAATTTATTTCTAATAACTCACAGGAGTGAAGAACTTCTTAATTTTTATTCCAGTTATTGTGAAAGAAAGAAGATAGTTGCTATTAAGCTTCACTGGGCATAGTAGATGTTATCACCTGACTAGATGTTTTAACTGCTGAATTTTGTCCTAAACATCCACATCCTATTTGCATACTTAGACTGATTTGTGAAAAATCTATTAATACTTTCTAAGAGTAGGTATTATTACAAATTAATTCATTTCATTTCCTATCTGTTCTTTGTGGAAGCCTTTGTAATGTATAACTTTGGTTTGCATGCTTTTCAAGCTGTGGTATATTATAGCTCTATTTCTTTTTTATTAAATTATACCTGCACAGATATGGCTAATTTAACTTATAAAACATAAGTTGTTCATCAGAAGTATGATTATCGGTTCATTTGCTTCTTACTTAGCTGATTTTTTTATGGTAGTTCCATCTGTTTATTTTGCCCAATAATTTTATTGAATATTTTACATATATTGAAAAAGGAATGTCTCTTGAAAAATTACTGCTGCACTGGTGGTATTCTATTCTTACAGTTATGGTCATCTTTATTGATCCCATGAACTTTCAAGTGAAAACGCAGCGAATAAAGTAGTGAGGTCTTGGACTCAACACAGTCTTAATTGCATCTTGATCCCAATTTAGGACCTCTAATGAAAATTAATTCTACTGCTGCTTATTTTTAGTCTTAGCAAATCTTAGTTTTACTCTCCCTGAATAATGATTGGTTGACCTTGGACATTTGCCATGCTAATCAGCTGTTCCCATATGATAAATAATTATGTTTGCATCTTTCTCATAAAATTAGGTTTGGGGTTGGACAAATTATCTGCAGAGTCAACAGGGGGAACTTGATAAAGCAGGTGATTTACAAGTATCATTTCAGTAGGCAAGATTAAGAAATGCTACTGTGTGGTGTTTCAGTAAAGTTTAACTTATTTCAGACTAGACCCCTTAGCCAGTTTCTTAAACTGGCTGTTTCCACAAATTAAAGACTCCACTGGGGAAAAAAGCCTTTAAAATTTGTTACATTTTCAGATACTAAAAATGCTATCCCTGTTCATAATTCAGTAAAATTGCATCATGAAGGTGAGTTTGGTCAAAATTCCCCATAGAAATTTGTTTTATATATCAGTTCCTATCTAAATCTATTACAATTAACTCCAAGTTTAGACTTGCCCATTTTTACATGGTCCATAGATTCAATTATACCCCTTGTAAATTGAAACAATTAAATCAACGAAAGTCTCATACAAGCTGGAAATGAAGCACACAATTAGGCTCTTTTATGCATGTAATACAGACTTGTCTCTTGATTAAACCTTCTACAACTGGGTTTTCCAAGCAATTTCACTAATATTTGGAACTGTGAAAGCTCCAGATGCAGTCTTGGTATTTTGGGAGTTGATCCAAAGGAGGAGGAAAATAGATTCCAAAAGAAAGCAAACTAATTTACATACTTCAGGCATGTGCTAAAATTTGTTTTGGAAATGCCCTCCACCACCTGGGTTTTTTGATTAAATGAGCTAACCCATTGCCAAGTGATGCTATTTGTTTCAGCAGTCAAAGATCCTATGTAAACTTTTTACCAAAGGGACTTACTTGTACACTGTTCAACTAAAAGGTGGTCATCGCAATTATTAACAATTAAATACAAACTATTCTTTTTTTAAGGATTTTATTTATAATCACAATATTGAGATTCTAAAAGCTAAAATTATTTGGTCTTATCCTCAAACTTGCTGATCTGAACACTATTTTAGAGAAGAAAGATTGACTCAAGGGAAAGGAAGGCATAGCATAGGTTTTGACATTGTATGTCTTAAGTCATTAAAAAGGTTGCTCTCAATTTAGACATTTAGGCCACTTTTACACGTGCTCCAGGGGTGGAAAGGGCAGCATTTTAATTAGAGTGGATCCAATAGCTGTTAACTAAAGCGCCACCGCATCTCGTGTATCGGCATCCCCACGCTTTAAAATGATGGCAGGGGCACTTGAACTAAAGCTTGTTTGATAAACTTTAGTTCAGGTGTACCCACCACCATTTTTAAGTACGGGGATGCTGATACATGAGATGCAGGAGGCTGCTGGAGCACAGGAATTGCCATGCTTCTGCAGACTTAATTAATAGTCTACTCTGACGCGCTGGAATTCCAGTGTGTTGAAGCGGCCTCCATGCTCATGTGTAGACACTTTTAAATATCTTTTTTAACTACTATTTTTATAAGTACCATGTAAGACTGTTAATGAAGAATGCAGAAAAAACTATTTAATTTGTCCCCATTACTTACTTTGCATAGTTGATAGCATATGTATGTACATTCAGGTTGACTGTTCCCAAAATAATCATCTGCCCCCCCCCCCCTACTTTCCAGTTGAAACTTTTTTTTAAAAAGGGGGGAGGGGGGAGATAGATAATTGACTATACCCTATTCCCCCTCCCCCCACCACAAGTAATAAAGTAAATGTACCTGAAACTACTTTTAATGCTTCAACTGGCAAGATTACAGAATGTAATCTCTTTTGGTTTTTGCCATTTTTGCAAAACGCAGTGTAGCATATATGCATGTTGCAAATATTATAGGTGTTTTGTGTTTTGCATGGCAGTTTAAATATTTGAGATATTTTTAATAAAGATGAGATAAAGATGTTCAGAAGAGAACTTTTTGTGAAGCTTTCTGGAATTTAAATAAAATAATTGGTCTGTGGTAAAATGGTTTGATAAGTTCAAGTGATTTTAGGAATTTTTATTAAGTGCCCTACCTTCTGTTACTTTATGGGAGAGCAAAACTTATTCATTGTTATCAGTTTTATTTCTAGACAGCCTTCTGATTTACGATTTCTGTGTAGATTTTTTTATACTACATTTTCATTTTTTTACACTTGTACATTCCTTTCTTTTTCACCTTTAAATTTACTTTCCTAGAATTAATTACTATTTTCGTTTCCAAACTTTTCTCTTGTTTAGTACAAATCTGTTCAGGGAATTCTGATAAAGGTCTGAGTTAACACATATGTATAATTATGATAACAGCAGTTCCTTTGGAAAAACAACCTATCTAAAGTATCTTAAAGTTAATAGCACTGGTTGTGCTCTAGCACTGCTTTTGTCTGCAGACCAGTTAGATTATCCTGTCACCATGCATAATTTAAACAAGCACAATTATAAAGCTTACTTGCAGTAAAAAGTTTGTCCCATGTTCCTGTGTTAGAATACAGCCTAATCTGAACTAATAGATTTTGCTTTTCTCATTTTTGTCCTTTCTAGATTTGCATGGCAGTACTTCGGACATATATAAATATTAACGAAACAAGTCTGCTACAACGTGCAGGTATGATATAACACAATTTTTAAGAGGCATATAATACAGAGAGCCATGAGAAGGTATAATACTATATAAAATAATAAAGAACAGGTTTATTTAATATATGAAGTGTGTTCCATATCCATTTTTGTTCACACTTCTTTAGTAGTTTTGTTATAGACTGATCACAGTAGATATAGTTTTAAATTTATTCTGGGAGAGATCTTTGGTAAAATGGATTTAAGGTTAGATGAATGAATCAATAGCTTAAATGTAAAAACGTTAGAGGGATGTTGTAACAATTCTGAAACCAAAGATTCGAAACCCAAGAAATTCATAATTAATGCAACACTTAATTGCATTTCATATCGTAACATATTTGTATTTTTATTAAGGCACACAATAAGTCCTTTACTTTGCCATGTAGTGATACCATGCAGACACACAGCTATGACTTGGTTATTTGTGTTTCCAGATGCATTCAATATAATTCATTTTCCCCTTCCTGGCATTGTTACTGGGACTTGAGAAAAGGATAAGAATAGTTTAAAGGAACTTACTTGCGAGGAAAAACTACGGTATATGAGAGAGATTAGGCCTGCTTCTGAAGTCTGATCCTTATTGTATGTGCTCTGTATGCACACAAGGCTCCTCTACACGTGCAATTAATGTAGCTGAATAAACTCTGGTAAAGTTTGTGCTGGAGTTTATTGCTCCTGGATGCTGCCCCGGCTGGGGGTCAGCCTGCCAACCCAGGGCTGTTCTGATCGGGCTCAACGTGCTGCACAGGGGCTGGCTGGGGCATGAGGGTGCTTAAATGCAGGGGTAGCCAGTAAGCAGCCCCCACACTGGAGCACCATAACTGCCCCAGCCAATCCCGTTAGCATATGTATGTGCATTGCAATGGAGTCATTTAGTTTACTCCATTGTAATACCACCACATGTGTAGATGGTGGCATTTTAATGCAGAGCTAATTAGTCGGTTCTGCAGGAAGCGTCTTGTATAAACATGCCCACAGGGCCTTCTTATTTCTGTAGACCACTGTACAGGTATAGGGACCTGTTATGTAAGAATAGGCTCAAGGGGAAAGCACTGGGACCCAGAGAAAATAAATGTTTATAGCAGGGAGTAATAGGATTAAATTGCATTTATGGTTATCAGTTTTAAAAGAGAACTAAAAGCAGTTTTGGGAATTATAATGCTTCAGTGTCCGCCATTTTTAATTATATCATTGTCTTGTGCGTTAAAGCAGGGGGTTTCAACCTTTTTAAATAAGTGTACCCTCAGGGGGGGGCAAGCAACATCTGCACGGCCCTGCTCCTGTGAGCCAGCAGCGTGGGGTTGCAGCGCTCCATCCCCACCTGCCCCCACATACCCCCTGGGACCTTTCAGAGTACCCCCAGGGGTATGCATACCTCTGGTTGACAACCCCTGCATTAAAATATATTTGTTACCCAAAGTCCTACTCAGAAGGGAAGAATGACTTTACTGGGAAAGAATTAAAATGAACGGCGGGTGGGGGTTGTTCATTCATATATATCTCTATATATAGATATATAGAACTGACAGTTTTTTCTTAGAATTGACAGTTTTTTCTCTAATCTTCTGTTATGTGGTAAAATGCTTGGTCAGGGGGTTCAAATAAAGATCATGCTAAAAATCAGGCTCTTAGAAAATATTGTATTGTTGGCTGGAATGCTTATTGACATTGAGACTATACTTTAATTATCTATTAGGAAGAAAGGACAAGTTCTACTGTTTGGGACATTTTAAGCCTATATTGAACAAAGTGTAGCTCTGAGCAGCCCCTGCATCTTTAGGGGGTCTGGACTAAATATAATATCTCTTTTCTGCTTCTACCTCTTATGTGAAATTGTTGAGTGACTGCGGGGGTTCGTAATAGAACATGGATAATCTTAAGCACTCTGGCTGGTGGTATGGCTAGCATAAAATGGATGCATCTAGCACACAGGTCACCATGTGACAGCCATCTCTGTTTTCCTGGGTCATGACTGTATTGTACATCTGTAAGGTTATTTTGCAGGTCATTCCCAGGACATGCCTGTCAGGCTCTGTGTTCTTGCTGGTCATCAACTGGCCAACCAACAGCAATGTGGTTTGGAAGGGCAATCAATGTGTGTAAATGAACGTGCTGCACCTGTTTTGATCTGGGTTAAAATCCAAGACAACTAAACCCATGTCAAATTACACGTCTGTCTACAGCCCAAGGAAAACTGTACTGCCAATGACTGAATGTGTAATATGTGTAGGGGATAATTCCAAAAATTAAATCAATCTGGTTCCCGTTATCACGGAACTTGTGACTAAATATTTTCTTTTAATTTTCTTTGTTTTCTTGTGTTCATATTAAGAAATAGCTACTGTAATTAAAACCTGCTTCAGGGAATAAGTTGTTTAAAAATATTGGACAATAAGATGAACTGACCACTCCAATTGATTCTTTCCAGTCCAGATATTTATGAATTACTACAGAGAAGTTACTCCTGGTTTGCATTTTGATTTACAAGTCCTGAATGACCTTCTGATTGCTTTGCTCAAGCATTGCTTGTTGAAGGAAGTATTTCCGCTGTTAAACATTGGTATAATGATTAAAAGGCTGGTGAGTGAAATTGAAACATTTTGAATGACTGCATGGGGTGATAATTCTTCTATTACTAACCATTCACTGTAATTGCATTTCTGTTTTTATTTTGATATCCAGTTCTTTAATGCAAAACCATATGTAAAGCAGTCATAAACTACTCTTAAGAAAACTCTAAACTGTCCATTGGAAATTAATAAGTCTAATTAGGATTTTTTAAAATATTTTTTGTTTAGCCACCTATTGATGTGATTCTGAAAGTGTTTGAACATGTGGCTTCCACGAATATTAGAGAGGCTGTGCCTATATTAATAGATGCCTTTTGTAAGGTAGGCCTTTGACTATTCCATTATGTCCTTTTATTTTAAAATTCAACTTAAAGTATTTTAAAGATAGAATTGAAGTAAGCAGTTGTTTATATTGTTGTAGCTGCTCTCTTTCTAGAGTTTTCCATTCTTCCCTTGTCTTTTAAATCTTACTTTCCATCAAGTATTTTTCCCATAGTACATTACTACCTGTGCCAGTTATTGTTGGAAACCTTTTGAAAAAGCTAAATTTTATGCATATCTTCAATTTCTTCTTTTGATACCACAGCTTTTTGATGCCGGAATGGGTTTTGAGTCTGAACATTTTAACTGTATTGTTAAGTTCCTTCACCAATTGCAAGTTTCCAGTCAGGAAATAAATACTATTTTGAACATAAAATCCAGGTGCGTATTTAACATAGGGAATTATCTAATAGCTAATATACAAAAGGTATTTAATAATTTTTTCATGCTTTCATTTATGTAAAGATTAGATTCCATTATTTTAGGATGCTGCTAATTGAAAAATGTGAATCATACTTCTGTACGAAGAAGTTTAATCATGGGAACATAAACATAACATTAGAAGTTCCATCGTATATCAGACTAATGGTCCATCTAGCCCAGTATCCTGTCTCTGAGAGTGGCAGAAATGAATGCTTTAGAGCAGCAGTTCCCAAACTATAGGTCGCAACTGCAAATGGGTCACAGCAACAGCAGGTGGGGTCGTAATAAAAAGGGATCTGGGTTTTCCACTTGCTGTAGAAAAACGCAGATTTTCTCCTTAAACAGAGAGAAGACCAGGTTTTCCCTGTTAAAGGAAAAAATCATGGATTTCTCTCTTAAAGGAGAAAACTATGGGAAAATTTGAGTTTCCCCTTGCAGGCTGGCAGAGTTCCAGTCTGCAAGGGGCTGCTTGGTGCTGGAGGGAGCAGGGGTGGGCAATTGGAGGCAGGAGGTGCCATGTGCATGTGTATCAGCCAAGCAGTAGTGGAGAGTAGGTCCTGCAGCTTCTTCCAAGTTAAGTCTGTGTGGAGGGGCACAGGCAATGTATTAGGGAAAAGGTGGGGCACAGACGATGCAGGGGCAGGAGGACACATGCCACCTCAAGATTTCTGTGCCTACATCAGGGCATGAGGCTACAGCAGGGCTGGGCCATCTCTAGGTGGTGGCAGCAGCTGCCTCCATGGCCCAGTGGGTGGTGGTGCAGGAGGGAGCACTGCGCCTCCATGGCCCAGTGGGTGGTGGTGCAGGAGGGAGCACTGCGCCTCCATGGCCCAGTGGGTGGTGGTGCAGGAGGGAGCGCTGTGCCACCATGGCCACCAAGTTGAGGCGCAGCAGCAGCAGCGGTGTGGAGTTACGCCCTGTGCTGCTGCCAGGTGGGCAGGGGTCCGTGGTGCTCCCTCCTGTGCCGTGGACCTGTGCCTGTCTGCTGGGCTGCAGAGACCCCAGGGGGAGGGCAGCAGGGCGGGGAGCCCCAAACCCACAGTGAACAGCCCACATCCTTCCCCCCTGCCCCATGGGCTCTGCTCCAGGTGTACCATCCGCAGGGGAGGGGAGTTGAAAAAGAGCTGGCTCTACACTCCATTCCAGCCGTAGCAGTCGCCACCACCTCCCGTGGGCAGCAGCCAGGGTTCAGGCACTGGTTGGGGAGTGGGGGGCTACAGGTAGGGAGTGGGGGTCCATGCTGAGGAAATGGGGTCATGCTGAGGAAAAGTTTGGGAAGGACTGCTTTAGAAGGAGGGAATTGAACCAGATATGAGTGATCTATCCCCTATCGTTACCCTCTCTGGCAGCCACTGTTACTGGTTTAGAGATGCCAGAGGAAACACTTGCATCTGTTCTGCTCGGGTATTAATAAATCTGCTATTACGAAATATATCATCCGTGAATTTGTCTTGTCCCTGTTTGAATCTGGTTATGCTGTCTGCCTCTACAACCTCCTGTGGCAATGAATTCCACAAGCTAACTCTACACTGCAAAAAAAAAAAATACTTTCTCTTTTAGTTTTAAACCCATTTCCTAATTTCATTGGGTGCCCCCTCATCTGAATATTTTGGGACTTGGTGAAAAGCACTTCACTGTTTGCCTTGTCCACACCTTTCATGATTTTATAGACCTCTCATATCCACCCTCAGTCTTCTGTACAAATTGGAGAGTCCTAGCCTTTTTGTCTCCTGGTTTAGCAATTGCTCCATACCCCTGATCATCTTGGTTGCATTCCGTCATTTCACACCAACTATATTGAAATATGCTGTTAATTTTATTAGAAGTGGTAACATCAAGAATAGAGAATTGAAAGATTTGGGTTTTTACTTCAGATATTAAGGTTTTTCCAACACACTTGTGATCATAAAATTCGATTGGATATGATACTCCCATCAGTGCTCCCAACAGTTTTCTTCATGATTTTGGACAAATCACTGAGTTGGTGGGAGGCCTTGCACTGATTCTTCTTCTATGCCTGCATCCCAAATCCCAACCTCTAAATTTAATCTACTCTATTTAGCTCACAGAAAGGTTGTGAAATAAATGTCACTTCTTGTGCACTTACTTTCAAGAAGTGAAAGTAAACCACTTCTTGATTCACAGATACCATATGAATTCAAAATACTGTTTTAACAATAAAATTGTAAAAATTTAATTCTACAGCTTTTCATATTATTTCTATATAGGAGTATAGAGGTGTCTTTCAACCAAGCAGTTCAGGGTTTTATCAACACAATATATTTATAAAACCTGTGTGAATTAATTGATATCACTTTACAGATAAGGGCAGTGATTCACAGAGAAGTGATGTGTTCAGTGTGTTGCATTGTCAGTGGCAGAGCCAAAATAAAACCATCACTAGATCACATTTCTTTTGTCTAATTTGACAGAAATTTTTACTTCGGGAATGTAGTACAATATGATGCTCAGTTTACATTGTCTGTTTTGTACCTAAATTGTATTACATTTGAGATAATGAAAACTTTTCCTGCAAGTTAGTTCATCTTTCTGTGGAAATAGATTTCATTTTACTAACTACCAACTATCAAAAACTTATGTCTGAACATGCTTGTTAAATGTCATGTTTTGGTGTTCATTATGCTTGCTGTCTGTTGTTATTTTTGCTTTAGTATACTATGTCTACGAAATATACAATTTTTAATCTATAAATGACGAAGTATTTTTGCTGTTTCCTAGTTGGGTTATGGGGTTTTAGAAAGGTAACTCTAGGAATGAAGAAACTGGCTAATTTCAATACAGATACTATAATTAATAGCTTTCTCTTGTCGAAGGTTTCAAGCAAAACAGTTTAAAAAGAACTGGCTTTGTGACATAAATATGGCAATAGCTGAAATTCAGGTACAGTATGAACACCTGTTTTTTTTAAAAGAAACTTCAGAACTAGCTGCATGATGTTCAGTCCTTGATATCCAGTGGAAAGACCTTGTATGTTATAACATGATGGGTCAGTAAGGCTTTTCCATGGTTATTTGTAATTTGCCTTAAATGAATTTGGATCTCAAGGCATTTTTTTTTCTTCTAATACTAAGTGGTGCCATTTACCTCTTTAAAACATTTTCTCATTCTTATGTGAACTGAGAAACTATCTGCTGATACTAGGATTCAGAGTCTTAGGTTTAGTAAAGCACTACAAGATCTTTATTACATAATGCAATGAGCTACTGTCATAGTGCTACCATTGAAATAGTGATTGTTAAGGTGCCTGTTAAATTTTATTTTGTGATTTGGTATAATAGTGGTGTATTTGTGCTTTTGATCTGTGATACTATACTGTTCCTTACCAGAAATATAAAATAACTTTCACTTCCTATTTAAATGATTCATATATAGAAGCAATTCCGGAACGAAACTAATTGGAATGCTTATTAAAAAAATATAAATTAAAAATATATTATTTTTTCTTAATAAACATTTTTATTGTTATGGGTGATGCATATATGTTTGCAGTAGCAGTAATAGTGCATCTTTTTAAAATATATGTAATTTTTTGGAATAATTCACTTGTTTAATATTCTGCATATCTTTTCAGGTTTAAATAGAAGTTACTTATTGAATACTTATATGTACACTTATTATGTATGTAGATGTGATGTAATTGGGTTAACTGAAACTTGGTGGGGTAGTTGATATGACTGGAATATTGTCATGGATGGGCATACCTTGTTCAGGAAGGACAAACAAAGGAAAATGTGATGTTACTTCATGTATAAAAGTGACATGCGCTTGTTCTGAGGTACTGTACAAAGTGTGAGGTAGACCTGTTGAAAGTCACCAGGTTAAGATAAAATATGAGAACAATAAAAACAATGTCATTGTGGATATCTGCTGTTGACCACCAAACCAGGAGAAGGAAGAGGAGGGCAATGCTTTTTTCAAACAGCATCTGACTAGTGTAACCTGGTGCTAATGGAGGCGGGGGCATTTTCATTTGCAGTGACATCTCTTCAGAAGGTAATGCATCAGTGCAGAGGCAGTACAGCAAGTTTTTGAAGCATGTTATTTTTCAATAGAGATAGGGGCCTGTAAGAGAAATATGGAGTCCTGATACGTCCTGGTTGCGGGGAGCACCTCCTATTTTGGAAATAGGAAATAGAGGAGTTCTGTTTGGTTTCTAATCTGAATTAGAATAAGTTTTGAAATACATTTCTGAAGATCATATTTTTCTCACACATTTTATTGCAATTTTCATTATTTTTGGGTGTGCAGTACAAGTGTACCCCAGTTCTCCCTCTGTCATAGGCTCTGTCATTCCCCTCCAGTTCACCTGCCTGATGCACCATGCTGCTTCATCTCCCTAGCTGGACTGTGTTGTATGCTCCTGCCTGCACGAATGCCTCTGACTTGGGGGTAGGAGGTGCCAAAACACAAGTTCACCCAGGCTTCCATTTTCCCTAAGGCTGGCTTTGTTGCCACACAGTCATACACAGTAGAGTCAGTAGAGAAAAAACAGATCATGTTAGTTGGACTTCTGTTTCAATTTTCATTGACTGGCTGGGATGGCCTACAAAATCTGGGACTGTCCCAGCCAAACCAGGATGTACAGTCACCCTAACAAAAGACCATCCTGGCTAAGCAGCAGACTCTTTCAGGAGCTGAAATTTAAAAAGAATTGTAGAAAAAATGGAAGCTTAATCCTATTACTAGGGATGAAGATAAAGTGTAGCATAGGCATATAATAAAAAAAAATCAAGCTGAGGCAAAAATTGAGAAAGCTAGCAAAGGAAATAAAGGGCAGCAACAAAAGCATTCTACAAGTACGTCAGAAGTAAGAGGAAGTCCAAGGAAAGTGTAGGTTGCTTACTGATCACAAAGAGCTATCTGATAATGGATGATGCAGAAGATGATGAAGTATTTAATGCAGGGGTTTCAAACTCATCCAGCCCCAGGGGCCAGATGAGTGGAATGGGGTGCAGCCCCTGGACTGGATCAGGTTTTAGTTGATTCTAGATCCTAAGTAACAGCCCATTTATCTACCACATTGGTCCTCTGCATCTTCTCAAGTGCATCTGGAGCATTCTTCTTTGGCAGTGTGCTTTGGCTAAATAAGCAATGAAATGGTCTGAGCCACCTTGTAGGTGTCTTCTAGCCAACCTGGTTCAGCTGTTTCCTATGTGCCACTCTCACTAGGGGTAGGTCTACCAACTTCATGAGATGGGTTACCAGGGAGCTCCACCTCGGAGGAGTTAGTTGAGCCACCTGTGCTAATTTTGTTGGACATTCTGCACCACCCAAGCTCATCTAAGGTGTCACTGCCCATCACTGATGTAGTAAAGGATCCAGTCAAACTATTGCAGTAAAACTCAGAAGTGGTCATACCTACTAATAAAAATATGGACAGGAAATATTGAGTTCCTTTGAAAGGAGTTAGAGCTCTTACATCCTGTCTTTTCCTCTTTAGTTGTTGTGACAGCTAACAAGAATGCAGTTATGCAAGTCCATCCACAAGGACAAGCAACCAGAGAGGGCTGGACCTTGTTGGAAAATGGTCCTATTTTTTCTTAAGTTTCTACTCTGGACTTTTAGGGTCTTACCTCTGGTTCTGCACCTGCTGACAGCAGTAGAATACTTTGCACAAACCTTCATTTCACAGATTGTACCTGACTTTAAAAGATCCGTTTTCATCCCTAGTAGGAAGAACTCTACTAGTTCAACCAACATGGCAAAATGGGCATGACTTATCTAGCTAAAGTTGGTCAAGGAACATTTCTCTTGACCCGTTTTCTATTGTAGATGCACATTCCTGTTGGAAGTCAAACATGTCAGTCTCTCTGCAGTCTCATTCAGGATTCATCCGGCAGCTATCTTTACCCACCAAGCACCAGTAGAGGAGAAGCCCATTTGCTCACCAACTGCCCTCAGATTCCTCAGAGGCTTGGCTGTAGCCCTTCTTCATGTAAAGGACCTTGTCATGCAATTCAACCTGAACTTGGTCTTGACATCCTCTTGGGGCAGCTGTTTGGGCCCTTGAGGACTGCTCATTGTTCTACCTGTCCACGAAGATGGCATTCTTAGGGGAAAATATCTAAGCAAGGTAAGTTATAAGCTGTTAGGGTAGATCCTTCCCATGGTATCTTCTGTCTGGATGAGGTAATCTTGAGGACACATCCAAAGTTGTCATACCTGGTCTCTGAATTCTACCTGAGCTCTCAGATTATTTTACAAGGGGTCTTCCCTAAGCCTCATTCTGTGGCAGCTAACCTTTACACTACTTAAACGTCAATAATTTTAATTTATTTTTTTATTTAAACTGGATCAGACCTTTCTGAAAAATCTTTGCTGCTATTTATCGCTATAGCTTTTGACTCCATAAGTGGCATCTGCAAGGCAGATACCTGGAGCTTGACAGCATATTTTTACCAAGTATTATGCAACCTGGGAAGCAACATATGGTAGAACAGTCCTTCAGTCACTGTTTGCATGGGGAACTTCAAGACCTCCCTCCAAGTATGTATGGGCACATATGTGGGCAGTTACTCAAGAAAAATTACAGTAATTGGAGTTTGCATTTAACTCCTTTCCTCCTTACTGTTTTCTTGCACAGCACATTTTAAGAGGGAGATGAGTAGAAAGTACACCCTGCCCCTTTATCCTTTTGGGTGTGAAATACTATGAACACTGCTAAAACAACAGATCTGTAGTCCAAGGCTTAGAGCATGATGCACTTCAACAGCGTGAATATGCATATGAGTAATTATTTTAAAGAATTCCAGTTATTGATAAGTAACCGTGTTCAATTTTTTTAAAAGCTTGAAAATAGAACATCCGTAATATGAAAGTATGCAGTTGTACTTTTAATGCGACTTTGGGATGCTGTTGGAAAAAAGATATTTAATATTTTTCCAAAGTTATGTAATAAGTTAGATTCATAATCAGATTTTGAGATGCAGAAAACTAGCAGTCATTTTGTATGGTACAGGAAAGATAAAAACCATAAATTTTGACATGGTTAGGTAAAAGATGATTTAACTAACTTTTATACGCAGTTGCAATTTATATGTTTTTGGAGAAGAGCAATATTAAACAAATACAAAATGGAAGCTAATTTGGATAGAAACTGCAGAAAAAGATTTGAATATGAACAGCAGGTTGAACAGTACTTTTTAGTTTGACAGTAGCAGAATACAATAATGGAATGGTACACTGTATGGAATTTGGTATGTTTCACTGAAATGACTAATATTTAAATGACAGAGTGAAGAAAACAGGATTGGAAGACAAGATAGTTAAACAGGAATTAATAGAATCTTAAAGGAAATCGGAATTATACATGTGAATTCTTGAAATAATGCAAAATGTGGAAAGCTAGATGGATGTATTGTAAAAATTAATGTCTCTAAAGACAGATCATTTATCTGTAAAGCTTAAGATAAGATACTGCATCTTAAATTCCCTCTGTGATGCATTTTAACTGGTTAATGGTTCATCAATAAGGGTGTTTAGAAGTTTAGGTAGCTCATTGAAAATATTATAGAAAATAACACATTTATTAGCTGCATTTTGACTCCCTAGAAGTCATGACAGCTATACTTTCCAAGTTTTATAGTGTTTCCTGTTCATTTTCATAAACTTTCCTTGCTCTTCAAACAGCTGTTCCTTAGTTTTCTTTGCATTAAACTGTATTTAGACAGTTGTGGCCTGTGTCTTAGTAAGATGTGCTAAAACAAAAGGCATCGAGAATACTGCACTATTTGAGGGGTAAGGTAGTGTGTCTAAAAACAATTCCATTCATTTCACATCTTTGAAGAGTATAAGAACATACTTCTCTTTAGTAGAAAGTGATTTTTTTTTTCTTAATTTCAGCATGATCCCAAAAATGTACTGATTAAAAAAATCTGTAAAAATCTGTCTTTGGAGAGGTACAGAAGGCTAAGGTGTGTTTTCAATAAAGTTCAGACAAACTTGTGAAATTCCTGAAATTGTTATCAAGATAGTGGTTAAGAATCCTCATTCAAGCTGAGCTACATCAGAAAATTGAAGGTTTTTTGAGAGGCGGGAAATTTACTCAGAGTGAAATGATTCCTGCGTTACCTTAATCAAAAGTGTCAAAAGTTAAAATAAATAAAAATTGCCCCTTATGAAAAGTGGTATAAACATCAAAGATAAATACCCACCTCCTGTAGAATACAAAACATTCAAAGGAAGGAATCATAATGCTGGGGAGAGTGGGCAGAAATTATGATTTGAGTAAGCTTGTTTATGTTTATTCTGGCTTTTTAACAGCACTGTAAAGAAAAAAGTGACTGGTCCAGTTTGGGAACTTTATATATAAATGTTCGAATGGGATGTCAAAATTTTGGTGACCTTCAAAAATTAACTCTCTGTATTGCTGAAATACTAACACGAGACTCCACAGAAGAGAGACCAGGAGTTCCTTTTTGTGAGTTTGCTGAAACAGGTAAAACTAAAATCACAAGTATATTTTATGTATTGTTTGATATTTAACAAACACCTGTTCAGCAGAGAGAACGAAAGGAAACTATGGAATTGTGTGCTGACTGTTCTCTTACCCTTTATTTCAGCATCTCTTGTTGCATGTACAACTAACCAAACAAGCTCAGTAGCAGCCAAACTCCCCGCATCACTGAAAAAAACAGGAAAAGGAAATCTTAATCAAGCTACCTCTCACCTTCATCAAGCTACCCCTTGAAAATCAGTAGGTCTTGTAACGACCTAAAAGTAGGATAGCTATATGTCCTGGTTTGGCCGAGATAGTCCTGAATGTCATAGGCTGCCCTGGCCAGTTGGTGAGAACTGAAGTAGACATCCCAGATGGGCACCACCCTGCCTGCACATGCCCAGCCTGGCTCCTCCTAAGCAGGCTGGGCTGAGCACCACTCCTGCCTGGGGAAGGGATCAGCCAGGGCAGGGATGAGGCTGGGGCCAGGGCTCAGTTACCTGGGTGGGGCACACCAGGGGAGGGCAGGACAGCATGGAGGTCTGCAATCAGGCTCCATCCCCCACATGCAGACACTAGAGCCAGCTGGGAGCAGCCTCTGGGCTTTGCCAACCAGTGCTACGTGGCCACAGCACCTCCACCCTGCTGCCAGCAGCCTCATGCCTGGCCATTGCCAAGGCTCAGGTTGCAAGTGGAAGCCTCAGACAGCTGCCAGTAGCTGGATAGGGGTGCTGGGTGGCTGCACAATGCAGGTTGTTAGAGCCCAGGGAGCACCACACAAAGGCTTCTCCCAGCCAGGTCCAGCCCCTCTGTGTGGGGGAGGGAGCCTGGCTGCAAGCCTCTGTGCTGTACCACCCTACTCTGCCATCAGGGCTCCTGGGAGCCACAGTCAGGGCTGTGTGTGTATGTCTGTGTGGGGTAATGGGTGCAGCAGCAGGATGGGAAATGTATGTGCACCTTCCCCCACATCCCTGAATTCACTAAAATTATTATGGTCACCGTACCTAAAATATGCAAGCTGTGGTTTAATCACTCTAATGATAGAAGTCAGGCCCAGAATTGAAGGGTGTCTGGTGAGAATGTTCTACTCTAATCATGCAAATTGGAGTACCTCACACTTTTTAATAACTAAGAGAGCAGTAGTTCTGGCTTATGAGTATGCATGCCTAAGTCATTAAGGACTTAATCATGCAAAGCAAGTAGCTTGAGTTATACCTAAAAATGAACTCTGACCTGCAAGAGTTTCTGGAGCATCTGTGTAATATGTTCTACATATAAACAATATGACTAAACAGGAAACTGTTTAGTAGCATGCAGTTAAAAATGAATTAAGAAGCTGCAAGTGTTGGGACCCCACCTTTCCTTCAAATCTTTGTATCTGCTTCTTATGTTGTATGATATTAAAATTTCAATGCTGGGCTGCAGCCTGAGGTTTAATTTGTATTTTGAATTAAGTATTATTCTGTCAACATTAAGGTAGTGAGCCCAATTAAATGGAGACTTCTCATCTCAATTATTGGTTTGGCCTTCTTAAGGATTGTCATACTTGCTAATCACCTGTAGTCAGACTTAGTCATAAAGGGGAAATTTCTACTAGTAGCTTTATTGTTACTTCAAACTTTGACCCATTGGGGGTCAAATGAGCTTTAGATAAAGCTCCCCTCCCTCCATTTTTAAGCACGGGGACTGATACACAAGATGTTGCTGGAGTGCAGCAATTACCATGCTCCAGCAGACTCTACTAATTACAGCGTGTCGGAACAGCCTCACTACTCATGTATAGGTGCCAATTATATCTGCGTAATGATCTTAACTTCAGCACTTTAAAGGATATGTTGAGAATTGAAGAACAGAGGGCCATTGGAGAAGGAAGAAATACCTCCAGGCCAGAATGAGAGAGCAAGGGTGTGTTGCCCAAACTTCTCTTCAATCAGTGTCTCCTAATACTACTTTTTTTCATTATACAAACACTGATACAAAAGCAGCCTTTAGTCAATGCAATATAAGCCAGTCCACACTTTGTTGCAAGATGAAGTATCCAAACTGAAATGACACATACACTTGGATCAGGAAATAGAAGAGTTGTAGGGTATCACTGAAGTAGCCCCTGAGCCCATTTTTTAGGTTCTTTGGGGTTGGTAGCTTGGCCTGGCAGTTCATGCTCCCCTCAGCTGCTTGGTACAGCATAGAGAAAATGGATTTTTAATTTCAGCAGGATCCCAAAATGTCTGATTTAATAAAATCTGTCCTGTTTTGCCTTGGTGAGAGAGACTGCCAAGATGTATTTTCACTAAGAAGTTCAGACCATCTTGTGAACTTCCTGAAGGGTTAATCAAAGATAGTGGTTAATAGTCTTCATCCAAGATGAACTATATTAGAAAAGCTTTTGGAAGTAGGAGAGAGACTAAATTGAAACCTTAAAAACAAAAATATAGGATATATGCCCCTTAGGTGAAGCAGTGGGCATTTCGATTATCTTTCCATCATTGTTAACATTACCTCTTGTTTATCTAAGCATGCATCTCAGACTGAGAGCTTAATGACTGCATTAGCCAGATTTGTTGAATTAGAAACTCCTAACTAGGGATCATCAGTATGTTGATGGCATTGCATACCTAAACGCCTTTTCATTTCTCTTGGGAGACTTCTATATGCATTGAACAGCTGGTGAGTTATTTGCTAGGATATTTCAGAGAAAAAGACTATAGGTAATGTTTGTTGTAATGCTTTTCTACCTCTTTCCTAAATAAGGTGGTCCTCTTTTCCAGAGCAATTGTTTCGTCAGGTGTCAATATAAACTTGCAAGTGAATCTAAATATTATTTTTAAAAGTGGGAGTTATCTAAAGAGCAGATGTATGATATAAAGCCCTGAGCCAGTGTAAATTTCTCCCTGGTATTTTCCCAGGTAAACTGTCCATATCTTGTCATAGGGTGCTGTCTCCCAGGAAGTGTTTATTTATCTGTTCCTCCACCACCACCTCATAGTTGAGGCACCATAAAAGTTACCCATGCCATGCAGCTCTTCACGATAGGTCTGTTCTTATCCTGGTACAGTTTGTCAGTGTAAATATGTTGTATGTCTGGACTCCTACGATCCTCAGGTGTTAAACACATGAATAAATTTCCAGTAATTTACTAACTTTGCTGCATCTTTTGCTTGTCAGTTGAGATGCAAGTTTTTTGTTTTCCTGTTCAATATTTAGTGATATCAGATACACGACATAAAAATGCAACACCCTTTGTGTCAGTAGCAACAAAACAAAATGTGGTTTCTGATTTTTTACAGGTGAAAATAGTACAGAATATTTATTTGTAGTTTATACATTATGCTATTAATTTGGAAACTTAGTTGTGGTTTTTTTGGTTGGTTGGTGGTTTGGGTTTTTTTTAAGCTTGTCATAAGAACGTAGGGCACCTATACACGTGCTTCAAGGCTGCTCCAACACACTGTAATTAATAGAGCCTGCTGGAGCGTTGTAATTATTGCGCTCCATTGGACTCCAGTGCTGCTCTCAGAGCTACCCTAATTAAAGTGCCCCTCCTCCCCCTCCCCCCATTCCCAGAGCACATGTCTAAACGCCCATAAGCACCATGTTGGGTTACACCCAGTATCCTATCTCCAACAGCGGAAGGAGTGGACGCTTTAGGGGGAAAGCAGTGAACTAGGTGTACTTAGACCAGTAGTTTTTTTTTAAACTGTTCTCCGAACCACTGGAGTTCCACAATAGGTCATCAGGGGTTCCACAAAGAGATTGGGGATTATGGCTAGGTCAGTAGGCTAGGCCAGCTGGTCAACTGTTAAGATAGGAGTAGGGGTTCCACAGCACGAGTTATTGTGAAGGTATTCTGTGACTTTAGGAAGTTCTAAAAACCACTGATCTAGAGTGATCTATTCCCTACTCGTTACCATCCCTGACATCCACCATTATTGATTTGGAAATGCTAAAGGATACATCTCAAACTGTTCTGTATAATGGCTCCATTGTCCATTAATTTGTCTAGTCCCCTTTTGAACCTGGCTATGCTATCTTCTTCTACATCCCTCCCCTTGGTAGTGAGTTCCAAAAGTTAAAGACACGTTACATAAAAAAACACTTTATCTTGTAAACCTGTCACCTAATTCCATTGGATGCACCCTAATTCTGCTATTTTGGGACTTGCTGAATAACAGTTTTCTGTTCACCTGGTCCACAACCTTCATGGTTTTATAGTCCTCTATCATATTCTTCCCCTCCCAGCCTTCTCTTTTCCAAACTGAAGAGTCCTAGTGTTTTTAATCTCTTCTGACATGGAAATTGATTCATAACTCTAATCATTTTGGTTTTATAACTTTACTACATGCTGTTTGAGATGTGAATACCAGAACCACACATACTATTCAAGATGTGGGTGCACCATGGATTTGCATGTTGTTTTCTGTTTTGTTTCCATTACATTCTGATGATGCCCGACATTTTATTGGCATTTTTGTGGTCACTGCTGTGCATAGAGCTGATGTTTTTAGACAATTCTCAACAGTGACTACATGGTCCCTTTCCCCGAGTCATAACAGCTAGGTCAAAACACAGACTTGTGTATGTAGAATTAAGTTTACTTTTCCCTATGTGCACTACTGTGCAGCTGTTGACAGTGAAGTTCCTCTGTTGTTTTTTTGCCCACTTAGCTTGGTTAGATCTTTCTGCAGCTCCACCCCATTAGTTTGATACATGACTACCTAGAATAATTTAGTATCATCTGCAAAATAATTTAGTTTCACTGTGCACCCCATTTCCCCAATGTTGAACAAAACTGTCCAGCACAGGTCCCTGTGGGACCCCATTTTTTACTTCCCTCTATCCTAAATAGAAACTGTGTAGTCCTACCCTTTGCACCCTGTCTTTTAACCATCTCTTAGTCCAGGAAAGGACCTTCCTTCCAATCCCATAGGAGCTCAGTTTATTAAAAAAGCCTTTGGGGGAGTCCTTGTTGAAAGCTTTTTGAAAATCCAAATAGATTATGTCAACTGGATCTACCTTGTCTGTGTGCTTGTTAACACCCTCAAAGTTCACCTTCAAAATTCATTAAGACGAAAATGATTATCATCCTTGAAAAAATAGTTAAGGAAGCAATTCCCCACATCTGTACTAATGATAAATTTTGTCAATTGATACCTTGATTTCTTTGTAATGATAACATACATTCCAAATTACTTGGAAAAGCATTCCTTTTAAACCTCCAGATAACTTCTAGATGTGGTTTTTCAAGTCCGTAAAAAGTTATCTAGTGGGATGGCACGTTATCAGAGTTCATTTATTGATTCTGAATTTTCCAAATGGTTTAATTCTTTTAAGTGCTAAAGGCCTCTGTAAGAGTCGGTTATTAAAAATACTTTCCAACTGTTAAATATTCTAGAACTAGTTTTGCCTACCATCATTCTTTTCAGAGCACTTCTTCCTGTTAGTGATTATGAAACATGGGATAGTGCATCAGACTGACACTGGGATATTGAGCCTCTTATGCTAGGATATTGGTACCAGTCTATTCCAGGATTTTGTTAGCTGCAAAAACTTATTATATGATAGATGCTTGATTCAGCCGTTGTTAAATGACTTGACAGTCTTGGCTCAATTTCATGCTTTCAAAGTAAAAACCCGCTATCACAGTTGGCAGGCTTGGCTCATAAGCTAAAGCTCTTAGTTTTGGACAGATCCTGAACCATCACATTGGTTATTTTGGCATTGTCTCTCAAACATGGTTGAGGCAGTAGTACATAATTTGGGGGGTGCTGCACAATGCCTTCCTAATACTAGGCCTGTGGCTGGACTTCATTTCCCAGTGATACCAGTATGATAAGCTGTCAAAAGTACAACTCACTTAGAAATAATAGAAACGTATGTAATCACCTATTTAGGCATCTTATTGTCGTGTAACAAACTTTGAATAGCCATTAATAGATGAATTACCTTGTTTTTATATTCATAACAAATTCTGGCATTTAATACCAATGCCAAATGTTTAACAAATGTTTTATGCACTTGAGAAATAGTCTCTTGCAGAATATATATATATTTTTTCAGATGTGAGTTTACATTCTTAAAAATCAACAATCACCAGTCACTTTTTTTGTTTGTTTTCTCCCCCCTCCCCCCAGTTATCAAAAATCCACAACATAATGAAGGAGACAAAATTTTTCTGGGAAGAATTGGGATCAGTGTTATGTATTCTTATCACAGAGTACTGCAGTGGTCAAAGGTATGCTGGATTATAATGGATGGGAAGAACGTTCTGGTTTTATTTAAAATTTAAATACACATATTTCTCTAGCTGAAAAGGTTAACTTAAAAAGGACAGCCACTACATTTTTTTTATTATTCTGGCTAAGTTGACTTCAAGATCCAGTTTAAAAAATAATCTTAAAGTTGTTGTCTGAAACGGAATTCTAAAATTGGCATGTTAGGGTATTGTAACATTCAAATTCCATATTAAATATGTTCAAGTATAAAAACGTTAAACAACCCAGCTTTATGCTTTGGGATCCCAAATTGATGTTTATTTGCCTATTATTATCTGCAATAAAGAATCTGTAGCCTGAAGTGTTGACAAATGTTCAGTTAAAGGCACAATGGGATCTGATCCACTGGCCACATGTTTAGTTTAAGGCACAATGGGAGCCAGCCACAAAGTTATTGCATGTGTTTTGTGTAATAATAACTTTGTGGCTTATTCCTTGTTTCGTCATACCATTCATTGTATGAATGTGTGACATTGGGTTACTACTTGAGATGTGATTAACAAGTTAATCGAGTCAAGTTGGCTAATTTATGCCTTAGTTTTACAAACCTATAAAACTTGGTTCTCTGAGTTTTACAGGAGTAGTTGATTCATCTTAACAAAGCCATTCCGTTACGGATGCGCAGAAAGAAACACATTCCAGCTAATTCATCCAAATCCACATCAGTTATCTGGTGTTTACTGCTTTTTCTCTAGTTCATATTTTAGTTTAGTAAAGCAAGCAAATATAATTAAATGTCTATACAACTATAAGCTTTAAAAAGTATTATTTTTGCATTATATATTTTTCCCAGTGAAGTGGAAGGGGTTTTTTCCGTTTGATCTTGAATGGTTCAATTAATCTGGTTTGTATATAATCAGTTTCACGTTGGTTCTTGGGCAATAGCACAAATATTTGAGGTTTTAAAACATAAGGAAATTACCTGAACTCATTTGTAAGTTTTTGAGTGTTGGTTAGAAAACCATTTGTCTCAAAGCAAGGTGATCTGCTTTGACCAGGTGATTCAATTTAAATTTAGAAGGTCACCCCTTTCATCCTTATTGTCTACAATTCAGAGCTTAAAGAAAATAGTTTACAAATATTTTTAGTAAGTTTTATTTTCAAAAATGTAAATGTAGGCTTCAACTTTTTGTCCCTTTCCAATTAGACTTAATATTAAACAAATATTAGAAGAATAACAGATTTTATCCTTTAGAGAAGTAACTTTGCCCCAAGATCCAAATAGATATATATTTTATTTTCCTTATATAGAATGGAAACTGCAGGTTAAAATGTCACATTCCTTGCCACGAAAAAGGCAGTGTTATACCAAGATGGTTTGTACTAAAGGTGTGAGCATACACTTAACGTGGCTTCAAAAGGGAAGGCAGATCTGTAGCAATATAAGTGTAGCTAAAATGTTTAATCTTTAACTCTACTTCATAGAGGGTCAAAATTGGAGCAGTTTAGCTCACTTATTGCTAAAAGATCAGGGGGCAGTGCCAAGTGCCTAGGACAGAGTCCCAACATGCAGAGAGCAGTGCCAGGCTCCCTGGGACTCAACCCTGGTGCACAGAGGGTGGTGCCTCACCCTTAAGACCCAATCCCAGATTGTGGAACAGGGAAGGGGCAGTGCCAGGCCCCAGGGCATGATCAAGCATGGCACCCAGCTGGTTTGTAGGGCCAAAAGATTTGAGCACTGCTGTTGTAAGTAGTTTGAGCAAATAAGTCAAAACTTTGCTATTATTCATCTGGTTGGCAGTCAGTGTTTAATTCTGATACTAAAACAAAAAAAAAAGCTCCAGAATATATGCTGTAAAACACTATATTACTATTAAACTTTGAAAAATACTGAACTTTAAAGTTTTAAAATGCTTAACTTTATCTGAAAACAAAGATTTAATTTTGCATTTTGTTGAACTTCACTAGTAAACAATATTGAAAAAGTTAAAAAAAAAAAATGCTGTTTTAATTAATTAGGTTGCATATAAAGATACTAATGCTTATGTATTTAATAAAATGGTAATGGATTCTCTTTAAGATAAACCAGGTTTCAGAAGTTGAACAGTTGGCTAATATTGCTGTACTTTTCTCTTTTTTTAGTAATACACGTTTTCTCTATCCATTGCTATTTCTGGTTTTATGTTTGTTTGTTTTTTTTCTTCCCCTCATTTGCATTAGGGCAGGAAGGTTTTGGATAAATTACATGAGTCTCAGATATATTTCACAAGCTTAAAAGGACTTACTGGTCCTGAGAGGTTAGCATCAAGATGCCAAATCGTTAATGTTGCTGCAGAAATATTTCTTAAAAGTGGAAGTCTAGATGGAGCCACATGGGTATTAAGAGGTAACCTAAGCTTCATTAAAAAATCAAGATTTGTTATTAAATAAACTTAAATATGCTGTTATAGATACCTTGGTATTTAAACTATCCCCTTTGTGACATATTTTAGTTGGAGTCTACATGATAGGTGAAAGGTAATACACTAATACTGAGTATGCCACAAGGAAATGTAGCCCACCTTAAATATTAACATTGTTCCCTATCCATATAAGAAATATTATGCTAAATAGTCATTGAAGTAAGAAATATCACCTTTGTTTGACTAAATTCATTCACAAGTTACCATTCAGGTTGTTTTTTAAAAATATATCAGAATGCTCTGTAGTCTGGCTGCCCCCTCTCCTATGCACATTGACTGCTAGACTGTCACCACATTTAGTACCTACAGATTTTCAAGAGCTGGGTCAGTGCCATAGGGTATCCCTGAAGAGTCTGACTCAGAATGACAGTTGTGTATATTGGGATATGAGGTTAAAGTTGGGATATTCTAATACATTTTATGTCTTTCATAAGACTGTCTACAATTGTTCCACTTGTACTACATTTACTGGCCTTGACCTGTAAAGAGAGAGAGATGTGACAGTCACTGTAAAACAAAGAGGTGAACAGTAAAGTGATAGTGAGGATCTAAAATTAGTATTTCAGGTTATTGTTGATAGAAGAGTGTTATATGACACTCTACAGAGTTCACGGTCATTATCATGAAATTATCATGTACCAACACATTAACATGTATTCCAAGATTTTTTTTGAGAAACAGATGTTCATGATTAGTTAAATAGCTCATTTTTCTGTGAAGCTTTGAAATTTGTCTTCCATGTCAGTTTCCAGTATATTTTCATGGTCCCATATTTATTATTTTTAATTTTGGTTCAAAACAATTGGGTTTTTCATTCCAGATTCAGAATGGGTAATAGATACAGCAGTGTGGCCCTGCGATAGAATGGATGTCCTCAGTCGACACAATCTGCTATGTGCCCTTGCATGTGAATATTTGACTAAAAGCCAGTATAGGCAAACATTTGAAATTTTGCAGAATCTACCAGGTTTCCAAACTTGTTCTGGTAAGTTAAGAAAGTTAAAATAATCATAGGTAAATTAAAAGACAGAATTGATACTAAATACAGCTTCTATTTGACCTGTTCTTTGTAGTTCAGGTTCAGATTTACTGGAGTAGAATTTTCTTCAGAGGAGACAAGTGATAGATAATAAAAATAATTGTACTTTGAGGCTTTTTATTTTATTAAAGGGAATGTGTGCACAAATAACTCTAAATATGGTTTTGCGTATTTTACCTCCCTTCTCCCAATTCTCAGCCGTCTCTCATTCTCTGAGGAATGAAAGAAGTGAGACTCTTTCCTGAATATCTTTTTAAGGACCTTGAGCAGTCTACGAAGAGAAATGGAGTTAAGGGCATTAAGAAATTGATTGATAACAAAAAAAATAACTATTTAATCACCACCACCTACTACTCCCAAGAAAACCTGTAGAAAGTAAAAAAACTGCTGCTCCTATTTCCTCTGTTCTGTTGACTTCCTTTTGCTTTACCCGTGTGGATAATGAAACTCCATTGCTCATCTCTTCCCTGCATTGTATTTAGAGAGGGAATTCATTTTCAGTTCTTCAGTTGTTAGAAAACCAGTCTTGTTACGTAGCTTTTCTAATAAGAAGTACTTAGATGAGGGGTTGGAATGGATGTAAGCAGCCTAATTGCAACACTGGAGAGCCATGCTTCCTTTCACTCCCTTGCTCTGACCCAGTACATCTTGAATTCTCTTTTGCACAGCTTCAGCTGGGAGGGATAAGCATGGTCCTAGCCGAGAATAGTTTACAACCATGGGTTAATGCATTCTAATGGGAGATGAGAAATTGAGGTTTGAATGCCCTCAACTTGAGTGAATATGTGACTGTAGAGTTTGGTTCAGACCACAGGTTGGATAGTGAGTGCGTATATTATGTGGACTCGGAGATCAGGTTCCTCAAGTAGTAATCAGTAATGCCTAGTTTGAGTACCCTGAAGGGTTGCGTGAGGTGGGTGGTGAGCTTATTCAGTCCTGCAAAATGGTGCAGCTCTGGGCATGTGCAGAAGCCAAACTTTAGACATGGTGAAAACTAGCACAGTTAAACTTTTAGGCACCTAAGAGCTTGGGAATTTCAAGGATTGCAGTTTTGGAATTAAGAAGTGAATCTTGACCTTCAGCAGCATTTTTTTTTTTTTTTTTAAATTCAAACTGATACCTTTCTCCATTGATACTACTTCGCACTGTAAGTAGAATGTATGTTACCAGGGTCTGCATGAAGAAATCTTGTCACAAGAAAAAAAAATATCATTATCACAAGGTATTTGGCTTTGATTTATAGCATTTTGTTGATTAAGCCAACTGCTCTGGTGTAAGATTGGACTGTAGTTTGTTTAAGTAATAAGCCATCAATCAATTAAGATTTATTTTGACTGAATAAAGTAATTTGTATTCCTTGTGTCATTACAGATGCTCTAGATGTCTCCCAATACAGCCTTCTTTTTAACAAACTTCTAGATGCCTGTATTGAGAGTAAAAGCCTGGGAGTATCTTCTTCTGTAATAGATTTCATGCTTTCAAAGAATGTTCCTATTGATTTTACTTTACTGAGAGGATTAATTACAACATTGGGGAGGAGCTGTTTATGGCTTAAAGCCAGGACCTATTACAAAAGTAAGTTACCCTGGAATTGGTATTCGGTGCTTATGATCCTTGCATAAATTATATTAATAAAAATATTATTATTGATAGAAATGGTTAAGTATAATACAGGAAATCACATACACTGTTTGTGATAAGTTTGTTAGAAAAACGTCTTTAATGAGTGTGGCTACTGACAACACAAACATTTAGCAGACTAAATTGAGGGTCATATTCAAGGATAGGCTCTTATGTGCCTTGAGGTGAGGTGGAAAAGAGGACTAAAGAGTCCTGTAAGTTAAGGGCCAACCAGAAGAAGTAATCTAACCTATCTCAAGGATGGCTTTTAAGTTGCAAGGGGTCAAGGCTGGTACTTTGGTACTTTTAAATGCAGCAGTACTCCTTCTACAAACTAAACAAAGGCCAGACAACACAAGTGCACAGACATTCCAGAATTTTCTTTTAGAAGAAAAATGGTGGTTCCAGGAGAAAAATAACCCAGTGCTAGCCAGTTAAAAGTCACTCCTGAGAGAATACACATTTCTACACTTTCCCACAGCTTAACTCCCCCCAGGGATCAGGAAGAGTGGAGCTGTGGGAAGGAATTTTCCACCACTAGAAATGAATGTTTGTTATGTGGTTAATGTCTAGGCATAAACCTCCTTCACCACAGCTTATCATTCCAGGTCTCAGTGCTGTGTGGTTCTCCAGATAAAGGCAGACAAGCTAGGTTATTTCAGATTCTCCTAACTCTGACTGAAGTGTAGACTTTAGCTCTGGCTCTCTAACCCTTTCCTCCCCCACAGTCCTTTACCTCTCAGAAGTGATGAGACTGTGTATATATAGTAAGGTCCATTCAGCTCCTTGGGATGAGAGAGACTCACAGGTAACTGCAAGTTGCTTCCTGGAGGGCAAGGGGTTAAAACACTTAGTGCCTAGCTATAACAAAAAGGTTAGCTTTAATAGAAATGTTGGATTCATAGCATGATAGCAAATGCACAGTGTACGTATTTATAGATAAAAGTAATAGTAGCAGAATAAATGTGAGGATACACTTGCTGTTGCAGTAAGAGCTGTGTATTAAACTTTTGAATTGAAATCCCACTGTAAATAACTTTTCCAAAGCACTCAATTTTAAAGAAAGTAAACGGCTTCAGTGTTCCTCACAGTAAATGGCAAAATCTGTTCAAATGCATTGCCTCTCCTTGCATCCCAGGCTATACATAAATGCATCAAATGGATAATAGTTTAATAGTGTTTAATAATGCTAACTTTTGAATTTTATACGTGTACTTTCAGGTGCTTTATCATTGGGTTGCTATCCACCACTGGAAGGAAATTTGTATCGCAAACTTCTGCTGATTCCTTCTTACATGTCTGAAGTTGAGATGCTGTTGGCTATTGAAATATTCCTCGTTTCAAATGCAAGTAATATTCAGAGTCCAGGTGCTACTAGTCAGACACTTCAAATCATACTGAAAAGGTTTGTTGGACATTTTTAGAATTTTTTATGTCTGATCAGTGTTATAATTATGTGATATTTGAGGGGAGGGGAAGTAAATTTGTTTGTTTTCCATTATTAATTAGGAGAAAATAATTTTACAAAGTAGTTTTAAAGGTTTACTCTGGTTCTAAAAGGCAGTAAATAATACATTTTAGAACTTCAGGAAACAAATCCACTAGCAATCACCCGAAAAATATTTGGAAAACAAGAATATTTCAGGTGATTTATAATGTGCGACATAGTAACAATGTATAATATAATCAAAAAGAACAAGATTGCCTGATTGCTCATTGTATATACAATCTTGTTGTAGTTAACCTTGTATTATAGTGAATCTGAAGAGTAAGGTTAAATCCAAAAACATGGCACCTTTTTTGAAGGAAATCTCTTGGCTTTCTCTATTCTTGTGTTGCCCAGTTAGTCTTGAACATTTTCATCTGAGATGCCTCATTATTGATTTCAATTTTGAACTGGTGTTGTTAGGCATATGGCAATCTTTCTCTCAGTTCCACTGTTCTCTAGACAAAACTAAAGCTTTCCTTTCTCTTACTCGGTCTCTTTTAGTAACTTGGAACTGCACTTTGTTCTCAAGACCAAGTATCTTGAATTAAACCTTTAGGTCTTCCCTGTGCATCCACCTCTGCCAGATTATTTTCAAGAGTTAATATTTTAAGACCCACCCCAATCACCCATGCATTTCAAATTATAGGAACTTTGAGCCTCTAGCATCAAGGTGCAGAACTACACAGAAAAGTCTTGTCTTGTTGGGGTGAAGGAAAGCGGGAGCTTCTCATGCTTGGAAGACCTGTTGGATTATTTCTGGATGGGAGTACACGCTTTTCCACAACTGGGAGAAATAGCTAACAAAGCTACCTCTCATGTTCCAGAACCAGCTGTAGTTAGGTGCTTCTCAAGTTTTAGTTATAGGGTATAGTGTAATACAGGGGTAGTTAACCCAGGGCACATGTGGCATGGGAAGCTGCTGTGTGTGACACCTGAGCCCCAGGCACCTTCATTCTGGCACCTCAAGTGAAGACTATTAGGTACACCACCTCTGGGGAGCCGGGGTCAGAGGCACTTGGAAAGGATAGAGGCATAATTTGTAGCATGACTGCCAAAAAGGTTGGCCACCACCTTTTTGTTGTGTATGGTAGTGTTATAGTGAGATGTCGTTTGCCTTGGATGACCCTAAGGCTTTCAAATCACAAATTTTTCAGTGAATTGAAAAGATGTGTACTTTACTGGGATATATTTTCAGGCATATATCCACATTAGATTTTTGGTGTGCATGGGAGAGATTTACTGTATCAGAGTCTGTGATCTGCTATGTCTTCACTCCTTTATAGGAGGAAGGACCAATAAAATCAAAAGCACACTTGGTTCCCTCACCTTCAGCTGTCCACTTCTGCCTTCCCTTTGGAAGTAGCTGGGTCAGCCTCTGCCCAAGATATCTGCAAATAAACCTGTGATGCCCTCTGCCTCCCCAGCCTTAGCAAGCACTTTTGATATTGGGTTTAAGATGGCCTTCACAACAGAACTCTAAAAAAAGAAAGCTCTTACACATTACCATCCATTATAAAAGATTTCTCTGGCTCAAAAGTATGCTTTCTGCTGCCAGTAGTACCAAAGGTTGTTGTACACTCCATATCAATGTTAATGCCAGCAAATGTGACAGAAGCTGCCAGAGCTCCTTTTGTTTTAAATTAGAAAAATGAAACCAAGAAGCATTCAGATCCCCAGAAGGACTCCTTGGAGAAAAAAGGGTCATTGTTCACTACCAGCCATGCATATCACATTTGAAGATTACTTATTAGTCTCATCAGCTATTTCAGCTCATACATCTCCTTAACTTGAGGCCCCAGTACCAACTGAATTGGATAATTCACCAGTGTGCATACTACCATGAATATCGCAATCATTTTTGTCTATGGAACTTTCCTTGAGACTTTTGGCTATGCCTCTACCATTTCATTCTGCACAGCAGCTATATTCAGCTGTCTTGATTCAGAATATCCTTGGGAGATGATGGGAGCTGACTAAAAATTATTCAAATCTCCTTCAAGAAGCCTATCTGTCATCTGTGAAAGCACAGTCCACCTGGAAAAAACGTGCAGGAATCCCTCTTTGTGGCCTTACGTTCAGGAATCTATGATGGCTGTGCTTAGCATGGCAAGATCCAACACTGGTGATATCATTGCCTCTAATGGCCTTCCTAGTACCAAAGGAGCATCCTTCAATACTAGTAGCAGCACTGGTCTCTGTTTCAGTTACTGTTACATTTGGAAGAAAATACCGTGCATTGAACAAAAGGGAAAAGGAAATGGGCTAGCCACCAGTTCATGATCGTGCAAAAGCTTCTCTCATGAAGATGAAATTGGTGTCAAATTGGTGCTTTTTTTCTGATGAACTGAAGTGGTTTAATGAGCTTGAGAGAAGTAGCTATTAGAACTATGGGAAAAGTCTCCAGCTTCAAATGTTGGAAACATCCATCCCTCACTTTGTTGATATTCTGGAATGCCAGTCAAAAGACAAGGCTGCGTTGCCTTCTATTTCAGGTCTCCTATTTTTGCTCAATCCTTATCTAGAAGGGTACTAGATGTATTACAGTGCCTCTTGACAGATGCTAGATCTGTCCCCGCAGCCCAGGAATTCGTGAAAATGGCAAGATGCATCTTTCTGTACCTCTGTATTGGGTGGAGTGGCCATGAATGTAATAAACTCCCTGTTTCCCCACTCCCAATAAGGAAGGTAATATCCTGGTTGCTCTGAGAGATAGTTATCCTTCTGCTTCATTGCTATTGATGGTGAGCTGTCAAGAAGCCCTATCTTAAACAAACAAAAACAAACAAACCCCCCTACCCTTTAGAACTTGAATGATCCTGGTTTGAACTCCTTGCTGAAGAAAGAAAGAGAAGCTGTAATGCATTTAATTAGAGGGTAGTAGGTTAGCAAGAAGTCTGTCCTAAGCAGTATATGGGGTAATAATAGATTACTAGAGATGTGGCTGTTGGCATAGGTAGTCTTGTCTGTGAGATGTAGCAGAAGCTTGCACTACTACCACAACCCTTCCCAATCCAACCCTGCATGCCCCTCCCAGAAACAGATATACAGGGTAGTTGGGACTGTCCTGCACATTTTTTTGCACATGAGTGTGGCTCAGATCAGGGAGGGCTGTGGCAGACTGGGCATTTCTGCAGCCATGAGCATATATTCTTGCTACAGCCCTTCCCAGTCTGGCTCCACATAAGGCCCAAGGCTTGTTTCACCTGGCTGCAGTGGTGGCAGCAGCAATCCAGTTGAGAAACACTGAGGTAAGCTGACATTGTACAACAGTGGTTATCATTTGGGCTGCTGCCAACTTCAAAAAAGTTATGGAGGGTTGCTTTGAGTCTAGAAAGGTTGAGAACCTGCCCTAGAAGAAGAAAAATAGGTGACACACAGGTGGTGTTCTTTCAGTGTCTCCTGTACATTTATGTTATCTAGCCGCTGCCTTCCCTTCTGCTTGGGAGCTACTTTCTCTTGTACTTCAGAAGTCCATGGATTAGGGATAAGAAAATGTAGGTAGTTGTTGGGTGTACGTTCTGTTATATAGATGCAGCCAGTTATGATACTTTGAATGCAAACACATTGCTGTACCCCACAATGGATGCTGCTGTTCTGCACAGTAATTCCAGAGGTATCAAATCTATTAAGTAAGCATGTTCAAAGGTAATTGTAACTAACTAGTAAGTATCCCCTCTGAAAGCAAGTATCTCTCTGCTGAAATCTGCATATTTTCATGTAATACTTCTCCAAAAACCCGATTTCCTAAAATTCTGATACTCCATGAAACACTTGTGATGGTAAATTTACTTATGCCACAGTATTGTGCTATTCTAATTATTGACATATTCACTGTGTTCATGCCTAGTAAAATAAAGAATTACTTTCTTGGTTTTCAGTGGGCTTGTATCCACCTTGCTTGTCTTACCCAGCTGTCCAGTCTCAATTGTTTGTTATTCATTGGTTAGAAATGGATCTTCCCCTCAGCTGAACCATTTTTCCTGTGATAGCAAGCCTGCTGTCTTTTCTAAAGCTTGCTTAAAACACCCCTCTTTCTCTGGTATTGCTGACGTTTTGTCACTTAAGGTGCTGACAGATGTTCAGGCCCCTGCTGTAACTCATAGTGCTTTACATAAAGTGCCATGAGTTGGCCCCCCTCCCTTGCCCACCCCTGGACACAACAGACTTGTTGTGTTGACCAGGGGGGATCAGCTTCACCTGCAGGTGAGCAGCAAGCCAAAAAGGAGCTGCCCCTTTCCCTAGCCCTGCCCCACCCTTTCCCACTACAGGACAGTCAGCGGGGTAGGGGAGCCAGGAGCAGTGAACTGCTGGCTGTGCTTTGCCCAACCTGAGCTGGGGGCAGGTGGATTGGAGCTTCCCCATCTTGTAGCCAATCCCCAGCTGCCTGACTGCAAGCATATTACTCCTTTGGAACTGCCTGGGTTGCAAGAATGTCACCCAGTCCTAAAGGAGTGACATGCTCACAATAAAAAGTAGCCACCAGCTCCTGGCTTCTGTCAAGACCAGTACAGGTGGATCTGGGCTGAAAGCAGGTGTCTCTGCAGACTCCAAGTGACATGTGCTGCATTCCAGAAATCCTCTTCAAGGAGGGCTGGAGGGGAAGGACTGCATGCATGGCTGTGAGTGAACTCTTTCACAAGCTGTCAGCTTGCCCATCATGAGCTGGAGGGCAAGGGGTGGATCAGAGCTTCCCCCCCCCACCCCCGCCTGACTCCCCTGGTTGTGAGGGTGGTGGAGCTCCTGGGCTGCATCAGCGCAGCCCCAAACATGCAAAAAATTAACCCTAGGGAACACAAGTGTCCCTAAGGCACGCTAAAGCAGAGCACCTTCATCTGTTACCTCATTTGAGGAGGGTTAATTTTTCGCACAATCGGCCACTTCAAAAGCACTCTTCACCTGTGCATGCCTGTCACAGCTATAGAGCACTTACAGGAGAAGAAGGGGACAGCAATTTCAGTATGCACACCTTACTCCATTAATCTGTGAAGGCATACTATATCGAATTGCAGGTGATACTGGTTTCTAGGGATATACCTTTTAATAACATTACCTCTTTGGAGGTAAGAGTGCTGAGGAGTCCACCCTTTTTGACTGAGATCAGGATTTCAAGAAATTGTTTTGTATTTGCTGAAAAGAATATCTCCAGTTCTGGGGTGGCTGTCATGCTTCGCCGTAGACTAAGGTTTGAATTTGGGGAGAAATATGGCAGTACTTGAATTGTGAATTGTAAAATTGCTCATGTGAACTGTAAAAATGAGAAGTCATACTAGCATCTGCTGTCGCACTACATTTAGTGAAAGTGGTCTTTAAATCCCACTTGTGTTTTTGGGTTTGGCTTCTGCTCACTGGACCTTAAATGTGTATGTACATGGGTTCTGATAGACCCCTTTGGGCCTAAGTTTGTCCCAAATGAAGGATACCAAAATAGTATTGGCAACAGATTTCACTGTCGCAACAATTGTGTGGTTCTGTGTTCCCTCTTCCCTCCTCTCCCTCTCTCTTTAAACATAAGGAATAAAATATTTACTCTTAACATTTAAACAATAACCAGTATAATGTTTTACCTCATGCTGAAGTGGATGGGGTACTTGAAAGCTTTTTTAGAGCTATTGTTTCAGGGACTGCAGATTCGGGTAGACATCTCTGCATTGATTACACTCAGATTATATTTTGAGATTTCCTCTACAAATATAATAATTGAATATTGATTCTTTTTCAAAAAAGTTCAGAAACTGGATTCTTCACTGATTGTCCACCCAGTTTTGACTACGTATATAAGTTTTATTCACATGTGCAAAATCAGATTCTTTTAGAGTAGCAGTATCCATTGTGCTCGTTGTTTAAAAAAAAAAAAAAAAAAAAAAAAAGCCAATAGCATACTACATTGTGTTAACAGAAGGATAAAGTAGTGCCATAGCCAAGAATCCAGATGCAAATTGCCAGACTTGGCCAGAAGCAAGAGGATTCAAACTCCTTCCTTGACTCATTGCTCCAAGTCTTTTCCAAATTTTCCAGTACAAAAACATTTCTTTGATCTGACAGGACCAAACTGCCTCTAGCACTATACTGGGACTCATGCTCGGTACTAAGACTGGCTTCTGCCACACTGCTCTCGGCACCAGCTTCACCCTTCTTAATTCTGGTAATGTCCTCAACACTGGCCATTTCTGGTACCAATCTATCAGGAGTCTGCCTTGTTAGACTACCCGAGATGTGGCCTTCACTCACCTGAACTGACACCACATAGACCCGTAACTCTAAATTAAGCAGCTACAGATTGTCTAGCAGTTTACATTATGCATTTGGAGATGCAAGCACAAGGGTTCCTGTTTACCAATTGTTTGATAACTTAGTAAGTAAACTATCACATGAATAAGATGGATCTTTTACATGCCATGACATTTGTACTCTGTGAAAACTCTCTTACAGATGTGAAGAACATAAGGTGCAAAGTAAAGATGATTATCGAACAGCAATGGACAGAGTAATTCTAGCTGCTCGTATATCTGATCCAAAGCTTTTTCTTAAGCACATGACTATGAACATTAATATGGAACAAGTTTACAGTTTGGAACATAATTCTGCTATAAAATGGCTGAAGGAAAACATGAAATGGGCTGGAAAAGTCTGGCTTTTTCAGTAGCTATTAGTTGGTAATGATTTTTTTTTTTGAACTGTTGAAGTAATCATTGTTGAAAATAATAAATATCAATAAAGACTGTTTCCACTGTGTTTATACCCTATGTCTTATTGATTCACAGCAACATTTGTAAGGTTTCAAATCGTAAATTATTCTTGAAATGATTACAGATTACTTTCATAGATGGAAAACACAATAATAGAATAACTTTTTTCTAGAGGCAAGTACCATTGCAGGTTCCCACACTGGGGTAAGTTTAGATTCTAGTGATAACATTAAAAATACCAAAACTTTTGAACTATTTCTTTTATTAAAATAACAATAACGTTGTTATTCTGAATGGCAGCCCATACACCTATCAGCAGTGCTTATGTATATGTTCAGTGCTTTCATGCTGGATATTTTATAGTCAGCAGTGTCTTAGTGTGGCGCATGTCCACTTCACCTCTTTTTTGTTTTTTTTACTCTCAGTTGGGAAACAATCTAGCTACTCCCCAGTTTCCTTATACAACCTGTATTATGTGCCAGATTATCTTGCTTCCCTGAGCTATCAATGCTTATTTGTATAAAGCTTATTTTAGTGCAGTGTTAGTCTCCTTTCAGTTCTTCCTGCATTAATTTTTTTTGTACATTTTTCTGGTTTTATTTTTTTAATTTGTCAGACCCCCATACCCCTGCACCCTGCCTTCTAAGGTGGTTGTAGCCCATCTGTGTATCCCAATTCAGACCCTAGTTTCCTCAGTCCAAAACTTTTGGAGATTATATTCCCTCCAAATCATTTCCTGTAGCTATTTCATCTTATATTGCTGACTGACTTGACAGTGTACCTCTTTACACAAATCAGGAGGATAAATCCCTCAAAGTGCATAGAGCTCTTGAAAATAGAAGTTATAATTTGCTCTCTCAGTCAATATAAGATGTTTCATAAAACTCAGAGTTTCTGATACAAATAGGTGTTTCCAGAGGTGACTCTGGTGCAGTGGACTCACTTCAGTGCTATTTTCATCATTTTAACTTTCCTGGGACTGTGATTCTTGCACCATTCCTTAGCAGCACCATGGCCTTTGATAGATCACTGCCACCAACTATCTTGATACTGATGTCCATCTAATCACAGATGGCTATTTACTTGGCACAAGCTTAAGTTCTTCTACTCTTGGTTAATAATACCAGCAGCATATGCGTCTGTTTCCTTGGTAGTGACAGCTTATCTGGATCTGTTAACAGTCTCTTACTACAATGGATCTCTCAGGAGCATTTACCACTTGAGCCTTCAGCCTTGTTGGAACTTTAATTATTTTCAGCATGCTTTTTAAATTTGTAGTACTGAAACTTTATAAAGTGTTTATGGAAGAAGCACCTTCTACATCAACCAGTTTAGTACTGCCTTTTCCTGAGGACAAATTCTAATTCATACTCTTGAGTTTGAAGTCGATAAACAGTTTTCCAATAAGATTATGCAACTCTTTCCTCTATCCCTCCCATTCCATGAAATATTCCAGGCTGTAAACCCACCACCAATATGACAGCAGTTCTTATAGGCACTCAGCTCGCTGTACCAATGGCTGTAGCACTGTTTGGATTTGTGGGGACTGAATTACTACAGAAGATGCAACTGCCTGGCATATTCCTAACTAAAATTATCTCTGTACTACCCCAAATGCAAGAGCAGTCAAAAATATTCCCCACTTCTTCATTGGGTCCATATGGTGGAACATTCCAACCCAGTCAACGTTTTGTCGTTATGTCTAGATAATGCTGTAGTATTAAACAAAGTTATTTCAACTCTTGAAAAGAGTTTGTAAAGTCTTTCAGATCTGATGAGGACAGTACCACCTATTCTGGATATCTCTGCTGAGAAGGAAGGAGAAAAACCGCGCACAGCTGGGCATTCTAAGCATCCTGATGTTGGGCTGTCTTGCCAGTACAGTAAATTACTAATTATTAGACCCCACCAGAGTTGTGATAAACACTTGAGCATCAAGTTGAAAATTTGCAGACAGCGGGTATTGGATAACAGCTGCCAGATCTGAACACCTCTCATCTGGTACTGAGATCTTTAATGGTCTCAGCTATTAATGGGAGTTCTTAACAGGGTCAACAGAGACCTCCTAAAGAGAGAGAGTGCTGAACTGTGTCTATCTCTTCAGCAGG